TATAATGTCGTCGGACACCGGACGGGGTCCGTCTGTATAATATCGCCCACGTTCGGGTCGCTTATAATGTTTACTTACATATTATAAGTGTATTTACTGCAACCATAGACATACATATAGACACAATTCGCACGCGAAAACAACACCGCCCTAGATTGGCCGGTTGCAATGGTCGTTCATACAGTTTATTTGAAGCCATTAACCAAAAGCCGGCGGAGAGGTGTCAATCGGACGATGGCCTCTAAATGTTATATTATGTTGGCAAAAGGAAAAAGAATGTGTCTGTCGCTAAATATTGGATAACTAGGTAAAAATCCATTGATTATAATTTATTGTTATTCTTATATACGAGTACGTAATAAAAAAAACCTTTTAGGCCTTTTCAGTTTATTTCAGACATTAACTTGTGAGATTATCAATTCAACGGTTGCACCCAATTAACCTATCTAATACCATTCATGCCCGCGCAGTACAGTAAGTGTATATAAATTGTGTGTTGATTTTTTACTGTCATTTGCCATCCGCCGAAAATTTGCGCATTTAATGTGTTTTATATCGTTGAAAATTCGATTCGTCTTATTTGGGTAAAGTGTAAACCGTTCCGTATTACACTATACAAAATTATAATTGTGTCTAATGGCGTTTGAGTTTGTTTAGATCGGTAATCTACCGTGACCACAATGTGGTGACGTTCTTAGGCAATCGAGCATTTTTGAAATGTAGCGGTGGTCAACCGAGCAAATCGCTGGACCGTGAAAAACGCGACGAACACGCGCGCTCCGCCAGGGCACGTGATGTTAATCAAATTTTATTATTAACCCCGACGACCACTATGACCGGCGGCTTGGATTTAATTTGCCGAAATCCAATTTGCGAGTGTTCTTAAGAGACGCGCGATAACGACTCAACGGCGGGATGTGCACGAATAAAAACCGATCAACTTAAAGGGCGGTTAAGTTTAATGCACCGATCGTGGGTTTTGATTGTTTGAATTTGATGTTCTCTAAAGCGTTAGCCAAAATGTATTTTCTGAGCTGTCGTTCGAGCGACGACCGGGGCATCGTGGCTGGCCGTATTGACCTAACATAACCTGAATTTGCACATCAAGAGGTGATCGGCGAGTAAGAAAATAGCGGGGCGAGGAAAGGGAAAGTGAGGGGAGGTGATTGTTGAGGAAAACTAACGTGAACGCGACCCTTTTTATAGGGGTACCATAAGAGATATTCACGATCCAACGTTTATTTCCTTTAAGAGAACAACTAACGAGACTATTTTCCTAAATAATTGGCTTACGTTATTACGATTACGCATTACTATTTTAAATGTACATATATCGTGCTTGCGTTGAATTCGTCGACCGTGACGTTTGTTTGGGCGTTATTGTACAACAGTTCGCCCCTCGTGCGGGCGCTCACCTACGTGATATTCGTAATGCGTGTACGTATACCTATTACCGCGTTACCGGTTTCGGCGTCCGCGGCCGTCCAATCGCGTGCCCCGCAACAATGGGGGTTGTTGCACATCTGCCGCCGGAACCCTCCGCGCGATAAAACTGCAGCATTGTAGTATGTTCGAGCCGCAGCCGGTTCAGTGAGGGCACAGTGACGCGCACGGAATAACGGTCGCTATGGCGGAATGCGAACGGCTGATACCGTTGGACGACGACGACGACTCGCCACCTCCGGCCCAGCACGACCGGCTTTTGAACGGCGCGGGCCCGGCGGCTTTTTCGCGACTATCGCTGGCCCGTTTTAGCCAGCGGTTCCGCCGCGGATGGACGGTGGCCGTCGACGGCGCCGGCGGTGGCCAGGACAAGGAAAACGCGACGGCCGCCACGAAACGTGTAAAGTTCGACAAGCGCGTTTACCACGGCCCGGTGTCCGGGTCCCGGGCCACTTGCGTCCGCGGCATACTGAAAACGGCCGACCGGTCGGCGTCGGCCGGCACGGCCAACACGGTTTTGCGCGACTGCGTTGGCGGCGACGACGTGCCCAACCGGATGCGATTGTACGACTTACCGGTAACTAGTTTTTATATTGGCGCTGGCGAGTCTCTTCCAGAACCGCATAAACACCAGATCAAACGCTGTGCTTCGATGATGGCCGGACGGAGCGAAGCCAAAAAATACAGACGGTTCGGCACAGATATAGGTTGGTTACTAGTCAATGTGCAGACCGAAGGGAGTGTAATAATGTTTAATGTTTGCTAATTTTTAACTTAACATATTCATGCATGGGTCTATTTCATATATTTTGGTAGATTCTTAATAATGAGCAGTGTACAACCATAGAACTAAAAATTAATCCTAGATGAAGGGTTACGCAAACATTTATATCATGTATACATACCAAAATTATTACACGTTAGCATAAAATAATGTTATGTTTTTCAATAGGAGTGCAGAATTTAGGCAAAATAATACTAGCTGTAACTAACCTATACATATTTTAATGACTATAGAAGTATAAATAATACATTTAATTTATATAATGATTAAGATAAGTAGAAACAAAAGTGAATTGTATAATACTCTTCGATTGGCGTTTTTAAGATCTTTTTAGAAAGAGAGGTTTAAGATTTCGTTATTTATTGTACAATTGTAAAATATATATTATACAAGGAGGTGTTTGTCAATTACAATAGAAATACGCATAAAGTAGTAAAATCAATGTAAACATTTACATATCAATGAGAAAAATCTAATTCTTTCATGGCATCATACGTGGAAAAAAATATATAGTTGGGTTAACTATACTTATAGTTTTTATTTTATTAACACGCAATAAATTAATATTTGGAATAATAAAGTGTTTAGTTAAGCAAATAAATTTAGATGACCTAACAATTTAATTAGTTGTTCCAACTATGAATTTATTGTACCCGTATTTTGACTATATAATTTTATTTTTGTGTTTACGCATCAAGAGGTTTATTTGACCTTTAAGCGAGTAATCGAGTCATAGAATAAAAACACATAATCTACTTTGAGAATATCTTATCTGCGGTTGAACGATTCCACCTCGGCGTGCTTTTGCCCTTTACCATTAACCGTTTTTTTTAACGTCTTTGCCGACCATCGGCCCAATATGTTTTCGGTAGACCTACCGTCCTAAACCAGTTCTGTATACCTAACCGGATCGACGGAGACGCGGTCACCCATCCGCGATGACACGCTTCACAAAAGTGCCTATAAAATATGTTACTATATTAATTGTGCGGCGCGTGCCTCGAAAACAATTAGCATAGGAAGCGCCGTTAGAATAAAAACACTAGTATATAACTTATTGGCTAAAAAATATTTTTTTTTTTTTTATGATCGCGTGACTGCGGTGGATTTCGTGCTTACCCCCACGGTTATAGTCGTTAGGTCCATATTGTGCATCAACTTGGTGCAAGAGGCCTAGGGCCGGCTTGGTGAATACCGAGGCTACGTGCAAAATGTTTTTGCGGGGCTTATTCAGTGGCGTGAAAATAAAATAAAATATAATCTGTACAGTGTACACTAAAGATGTGTTAAAGAAAAAAAAAATACAAATTGATTTTCATACAATCACAATCTTCAGTTACTGTGTAACCGGGCTAGGACACCGTGCGAACTCGATGAATAAATTGCATTAATTCAACACAATAGGAACAGCTTGTGCCGGTGTAAGTTGTAACAATATTATGTAGGGTAGTAGGGCGATACAAAAATTGGCGAATTTTCATTTAAACCGTTAAGGAGACCGTTTTGCGCAAACGACGTCGGTTGTAATCTGCTGTTCGGTATATATTTCAATTTGTGTTTTTTTTTGTTTTTGAATTTTTGATTTTGAATTAAAGTAAACGACCGGGGAGCTAATTTTACGAGTGCTTCGAGTACCGACGACATCCTGTATAATAAATTCCTCTTTCTGTAATTGCTGCGGTTACCTATTCGAGGAATTTGCAGTAATTCGATCTGCCGTTCGATCATGCGAGCCGAGCACGACTTGACAAAAAAAAAAAAAATTCGAATTTCACGGTAAAAATGCAAATCGACTTGTATGATTATTCGGGCGCGTGCGATAACGGTAAAAACCAACTTCCCGACTAAGGACACTTGAACGAGAACAGAGCCGTGCACTATTATAATATTCATTTTTTAATTTAATATTCCTTTTGCGTCGCTAAGACGATTAATAGTTTTGCTCGTAAAGAGCGGAAACGTTCCCGACATAACGTCAAAGAGTCTCATCTCTACGAAAAATATAATAACAGCCGTATCCAGTGTCGAGTATGTAAATATAATTTAATATTATTATTGCTACTATTATATAGGCAATATAACGATACAGCGTGATAAACTCGTTTGAGCGTTATAGCGTTTTTAAGCATAACAACTTGTACATTAAGACGAAAGAGGTGAAAAGTAATATCGGCTAAGACGGGAAGCAGAACACCGTCCCCGCCGAAGACTGTTGATTCGATAAGTTTACCGTTTAAGTCGTCCACGGCTACCGAAGTCGCGTTTTGGGTTCAGTCGGGGATGACTACAGTGTTCAATTGTGATATACGAGTTAAATGAGCCAACCATGTATGATTTGTGTATAAAACTGATCAACAACATCCACGCGCGGGTATCTATCATCGTAGTGATGATTTGCAATTATCGTTGTGGCCGACGGACACGCCTGTTTAGCGCCTACTCATCTATTTGTAACAGTTTATTGATAGTAAGGCGGCTGTGGAATCGACCAGCCAGCGGTATTATTATATTCATTGTAATTAATTACCGAGCGGCGCGTCGGTAATAAAAAATGAACGATCCTTTTCTCCGAGATAGGTAATATTGTTTTTTGCCGGGTCATTGTGTCAGACGAGCGCATGTTATTGACCACTACTATAGGGTTTTACCGCGTGACGACTGTTGTACCTATATTTTGTTTTAAGACCAAACACTTATCCCACTTATTCGGCGATTTTAATATTATATATATATATATATATATATATATATTTTTTACATTCTGTTGACGCAGGCACTTCGATATCGTCGCAGAGAAACAGCGGCGGTTCCGGTTCGGAGGCGCAGTCCAAGCAACAAAGGCAACACAATCACGCGAAGAGAGATTCGCAGGTCCCCAACATCAACATTCATTTACACGGTAAGTCCCGTATATTGTGTTTATTATTATAATGCGGCCAGGCCTGGATACTGCTATAGTGTTTGCACTACTAATGCCGGGCAGGAGAAACGTCGCGCATAAATTACACAGACCCAGGAGACCGACCAAAACATAAGACAATGACGGACTTGGAAGAAAACGGGTTGAGAGCGAGAGCGGTGTGTTGATCTACAGCTCTGAGTCAAGATGTTTTTTCCCCCCAAAATCCTGGCCACCCCCGCAATCCTCGGCAATTGTCTTTTTTGGTCATGAAAACTAATTACGTTCCACGCCCGGGCCACCGAACGCATATATAATTTGGTGTGTAAACATTTTGTCGTTTCCGGGCACTAATTACCCACAAGCGTGACATTAAGGCGATCCGAATTTCGAGGGTAACCGCGACTGTATGGGATTAAAAGCTATTGTTTATTTTTATCACCACCAATGGGCTTTAAACAGCCCGATGAAGTTATTTTTTTGAGAAATATTATTTCGACTCGTTTAAACCGACCACAATTCATTGAATCGAAACGAAGGACGTAGTTCAATGCGGCATTGGCTTTATGCTTATCGAATGCGAGATAGAAATGTTTATCCCAAATCAAATAACGTATCGGTTGGGTTAACTATGTTTATTATAAGCCATTGAAAGTATGAAAAGCTCTAACCTTGTGAATCTTTGCAATTATTTTTAGTCTTCGAATCAAATGCTCCTAATGATTTTCAAACTAATAAAACTAGCGACGTAGTCAGGGTAGACTTTCTCTTTGTTTTGATATTTTATAACTAATAATTTATACCTTTGTTATATGAAGGGCACAGGGGAAAACGGTAGTAGTCACGTTATGAAAATTTAAGAGTATAACAAAAACAAAGTTCGTGAATTCCTCTCCCTCTTACATAAGAACAAAAAAAACACATTAAATGCTATTCTAATAAGAAATATATTTATTTAAACAATCTATTGACATAAATAAAAAAAATTAATGGCATAAATTGAAAAAACTATTTGAAAAAAAAAATTGTCATAATGTGACAACCACCGTTTTTCCCCTGTGCCCTTTATATGTTATCCACTCGAAACCTTGCTCAGAATTTATCAAGTTCCAACTATTTGTATTTTTACTAGATTTGTAAAGCGATCTAACTCGAGTATCCTTTTTGCATATCCTATGGTCCCCAATATATTCCTAACTACCTTACTAGGTAAGACTTGGGTATTGGTGGACAAAGCTTCCACGCAGACAGACAAAACATTGTATTGTCTCTTACAAAACATCGGTCCAGGTGCTAAATAAGTATGTTAAAGACACTATTGTCTTTTGATATCATGTTTACTAAAACATTTATTGTAAGAGGGGAGGGGTATTTTATTATTCGCGCTCCGGTGAATTCGCCTTCACTTGGTTTTGTGTCGCACAGCTTTTGACATGATTATTATAACAATAGTTGGTTTTTATGTGCTGACGGTTCGCATTTTCGTTTGATTGCAGGTCTATTCGCGGCCGTAGAACACGGCCAACTGGAAAAAGCAAGAAACATACTAACCACATGCGAGGTCCAAGTGAACAGGTGCGACTGATTGTTTTTTTTTTAACAAAAATTAGTAATTGTATAATTATATTGTCGTATAATAAGTAATGGGTATGCTTGCGTTTTGTTTACAGCGTCAACAGCGATGGCCTGACTCCATTGGACGTGGCTTTTCTTGGCAACGACCGGGAACTTGTGCGATTGCTTTTGAGTCATGGCGCCACAGAAGGTAAACGGCGGACAACTTTCATGGTTACGGCTCAAATAACTGACGATTTTTATTTGATTAAATATAGAAACCAGCATGAAGAACCTGGAAACCCATCTGATGAATCTACTGGGTGAAGCTGAACGACGTGTATTGGAACTCAGGTTATGTGGTAATCAGGACAACTTACAGACCAAAACTCTGGCCCTGTGGGAGAGGCGGAAAAGAGGATTGAAAAAAATGCTCGTTGGGTTCGAACATGCCAGTGAGTAATAGTCTTACAGTCAGGTGGCAACGTTAGACTTGATGCAGTATTGATGTTGTTTGGGAATGGGGATTTAACGGTACACGCGCCGATCTGACCGCCCTTTAGAAGTTAAGCGACCTAATAAAAAGCCCGTTGGTTAGCGAGAACCTAATACGAGACTTCTCGACTTTTGTTATATCCGGAAACAAAGTTTAAAAGTAAAAACTTTATTTTCGGATCAGGAAATGCCGACGTGCGATCCTTGAAAATAATACTATTGTCATACGCACTGGATAGTCGGTCGAAATAATAAACGAAAAGTCTAAACCTTATATATATATATAAATATTTGGGATGACTAAATGCGACGTTCTTCGAATAATATTTAATACGTTATAAATCTACAGGAACTTACCATGCTTTTCGTTTTGACAGATAAAACCGTACTCGCAATTTTTTTCCCTTGAATTAAATACACGCGACCACTTTTTCATTAGTTATTATTGAGGTAGGTATAATATATCTATTATGTATCCTTTATAAACTAAAAATTATACTTTGCAAACCTATGCAATAGTATTACTTGATTTCAGACAGCATACCTATATCTAATACAATATACCTATACAATACTACTATATCATCCGATTACCGTGACTAGTCATTTATGAAAAACCTTATAGTGTACGAATACATAGCATTATATTACATTCGATTATAATATTATTCTGTGTTCGATATAAATGTAAAACATGTTCACTTTTAAATAAGCGTATTCAATAAGATAATAACGGGTCACGCGAACAGCTAATGTGTTTTAAAAACAAAGAGGCTGTCCAGGGAAATGTTTTTTTCCTGTCTGTTCTAGTCTACTTGTGCGCTAATTGTTGCACTCAACGACCGCAACCGACAGTGCATGTAGTAGGTACAGTTATACATACAAGACCATTGTTTTTCGAAAATTTCAAACGCAAGTAGTAGCTTGCTCTGTTTTGATTGCTAGTATCCGCCTTCTGTTCAAGTTCCAGAAAACTCTCATGCATTACTGATAGCGGATGGTCATTTAACACAGTTTTAAGATGATAAATTCTTTCAAGTCTAGTCGGGTGAAATAATCTTTCACCATATCACGTTTGAATAAAAAACGTACAACTAAATCTTTTATTGTTTAATAAAACCAATAGCTTAGTAGTTAAAAATGACCTACAATATAAACAGATTATTTAAAAAAAAACACACACAAATAGTGTAAAATAATATTTTCTCAGTTTCACGCCAAACTTAATAAAGCAGCGATGAGTTCTATATTTTACTGCGTGCAATAAAATTTGGTTATTCATCTTTTTGTTTTCCCCATTTTCAGAACCGCCAGATAAACCGGACAAGATCATTGTACATGTGACGGGAAACGATACCATAAATGTGTCGTGCATCGAAGCCGACAACCCCGACAGTGCTATTTGCACTAAATTCAACAGTGAGTGTGAAAACATGATTATATTATATTAAGCTTAAAGATCAAAAAGTTGTGTCACATCTACTACAATACTTTGTTGTATTATGACGTATTTCATTCGTTTTAAACATCCACAGTCGAATGGAGTACATCTGAATCGTTCAAAAACGTCACCGGGTCTAAATGCCTACCTGCGACCGACGGTAAATTCACTGTAAGCAACTTGGAACACGGCAAAACCTACTACTTCCGGTGTAGCGCCGGCAACTTGAAAGCGTTCAGTGATTTTTTAAGCCCGGTCTCCATTACCACTTCGAGTATGTCCGACAAAAATTAAATAACAGTATTTTGGTTCTTGGTAATATATTGAAGGTGTTAACTGTTTGTTGTAATCATCGATTAGGTTGGTGGGACGTTAGCCAAGATTCCCGTCGCTGTTCAGCCGCAATGAAAGTCAAGATGGACGACATACTCGATAAAATGATCTCCATACGACCTGACCTGCACCGATCGTCTTTCCAGGTAGGTGGCGTCGACAGTGCTTCGAGTACGAAAAAAAGGAAGCCGCCCACGTTCAAACAGCTATTCAGCGGCAACACTAAACTTCATAAGAATCTCCGGAGGTAAGTTGTCTCGTGACTATTAATGATTAATGGACGTATAATAATATCGTTTGATTTCGATTAATCGTATATTATTTGGATCGCAGAGGCGTGTACCTTTCCTGTCTTCTGTACCACGAAGACAAAGTCCTGGTGACAAACGAGGACTACTTGCCGGTGGTAGAGATTGACGACACGTATCCAAAAGAAATGCTCAACGATTTCCATTGGTTCTATAAAGTAGCTTTCGCGTGGAAGGATCTCAAGTGGTTTAAGGATGACCTAGAAAAGTCGACTAACAGTTCGGTCGGCTTCAGAACGAAACTCATCCAGGCCGTCACCCAAATGCAAGTGAGTGTTCTGGTGCCCATAGCGCACTCTGTCTGTATAGCAATGACTATTTATACGACCTGGTTGTGGTACTAAATCATTGACATTTTTGATTTCGCAGGACATATTAAATACTCAAGACCTAGGTAAAGTGTACTACAAGCCGATCCGGGATTCGGATGGCACTACTGTGATATGTACCGTGAACAATGTGAGTCAGCCAAAAAACATCGTTAACCTCAAGTGGACGCCTATAGCAAAGATCTTGAAGAAATCCTCGCGCTCCGACAACCTCACCGACCTGTTGATTACGTCCATACAAGTAAGACGCTACTGCCTAAAAATCAAAACTATTTTTTCTAAACGCATTTTACGTTTCAGGACCAAATCATGTTCCACCAGACCAGCAATAATCGGCTCCAAAAAGGCCTGTACGTCGGTTATTTACTGATGAGGAGCTCGGTGGACATGCTGCACGTTATGGTGCCCTTGCAGAATCCAAATATGCCGGTATGCTGTAAAGTCCGGGACAATCCACACGTCACAGCGTAAGTATTACAAAGTTAATTTGGTTTCCGAATCGGATAAATTCCACATCGTCAAACCGAGTTTTAACCGTATTATCTCGGTTGTTTTCAGGGAAGAGTGGTTGTGGCTGAGACAAGGAGCCGGTAGTAGTTTGTGCGAACCCAAATGTCTTGGATTCGCGTCTCAATTCAAAATGGCTACCAACCGACTGTACTCTTTAGTGCAGATACCCAAAGACAAGCGTTCAGTGCAACGCGTGTATACCAGCGAAGTGATCGAAGTCGATCAAGACGTAAGCCTCATCATGATCGTACCTCCGGCCGAGGTGGCTTGCGCTGTGGGCGAGGGTAATCAATCAGCTCTACACTTGCATCGCACCGAACTGGTGCCCCTCAGCGTGCAAGTATTTGAGATGATACACTTCGGCACGTACCGCCCGCAAATGCTTCTGTTGTATGCCCGTTTGTCCAGTGTCGTGCAGTTAGATACGGACGACGCTCGATACTCTATTAGGCAAGCGTGGAGCTCGTCCGACCTGGAAGCGGCCAAACAGCGACTAGATACCGTGGAGACCCTAGAGACCAGGCTGAACGCCGCCTGGAAACACTTACGGTGGTTATTGGACGTGATGAACTTTGCTCGGGAACGTCTGTTCACCTCTCAAATGTCTAACGCCAATTACTCCAAGAGCGCTAGCAACAGCCAACTAGAAATGAAATCGGTTAAGAGCAACTCGGTAAGCTAGGGTTTCTCAGATAATGATAATAATATCTATAGTGACCAACTAACACGTTTTACCCTTCACAGCTTTTGCAGTTACCCGACACCAAACTAGTTAAATCCCGTGGCAGCTGGCCCGGTCCAGGACTGAACTCTATGCGAACATTGGAGTCTGTATGTCCAGAAATAAGCCGTAGCGATCAATACTTGTCACCGTGTTCACACGAACGAAGTTTCGGGTTGGCCAGCAAACAGAGTTGTTCCTCTGAAACTAGCGGCGGTACGTTTATCTTCGTTCTTGAACTAATCCTAATACGTATACTTAATGCTATGTTACGTGTTTGATTACAGACAGCAAAGATGACCCGGACTTTGCCGAAGAACAGATCTCAGATCCGGCGGATTCGCCACAAAAGTCTACGCAAAACCACGGGTAAGTACAGTTGCACCTATAGTCGATGCCATAGTTGACTTGTACATGTAAATAATACCTTATTTCCAGGTCTAAAGAAATTCCGGCTGTGATTAAAGTTGATGACCCAGAGTACGTGGACACGACTATGAAAAACGAAGGGCTAGTTCCCGTTCCGGCTCCCGGAATCATAGAGGTACGGAAGTTTTGTTAACTAAACAAACATAAGTAAATCTAACGACCACCGTTCTCAATGAATGCAACCGACCAACGCTAATAATATACTTAACTTGGACCAAGAAAGTCTAAACTACTATGTTGAATTTAATTGGTATGTAATTGTTATTTTTACAACGCTTAGGTATATGCGGCCTATGACACTGGCTTACCACATCCCACCAGCTTGATGTTGCACATAAGTCCTACCACGTCGGCCCGAGAGGTGGTGCAGTTGTTCCTCCAACAGCTGAACATGTCCGTCTTGGTCAAAGGAAAGACCGGTCCCATATACCCTAGCACCGAGTTCGGTAACTTCTGCCTGGTATCGGTGACCGGTGCTCGAGAGCGTTGCCTACGAGACGACTTCAAACCACTACAGTTAACTGAACCATGGCGCAATGGCCGCATGTATGTTCGCCATAAACAGGACGTGCTGGCTGCTTTGGAATTGCATTCGTCTATACAGACCAAACATTGAACTCATTAATATTGTCCCCTATTAAACATAATTATGTATAAAAACAATAATTATTGTACTTATAAGTAATACGAGTATAATGTTAACATAATATACAATATTATATAGGTAGGTATATATAAAATTTGTTTAAATTATAGTGAGGTGTTACAAATAACCCTCTACCGTGTGTTAAATAATTAATTGTATTGTAAAATATAAAAATGATAGGTATATTAATGTATTTGATAACTTAACCTAACTGAACGACGTTGAAAGTATTGATTCTGTTTTTATTGTATAACGTATTATATTTATCAATTAATAAATATCGATGTTGTAACCAAAAAATAAAAACGTCTAGCGTTATTTATTTGTAGGTACATGTTCGTAAAGTAAATGTAAAACTATAAAACTGGTTCCGACAGTTTTGAACCGTGTTAAAAAAAATCCCACTTACACAGTTAAAAATAACATCCAATAGAAAAATTATCTATTTATATTTTATAATTTAAAAAAATTGTGTTTTACACATTTAATTATTTATTAGAAAATCCGTCGTTAATTAACTTTCAAGGCATGTTAGCTACATACCTACAAACATTTATTCAGTATTCCGTTTGAACACAGTAATACAGTTTTAATATTTGGAGCTAATAATTTAACACAACTAACTGTATACCTTTTATATTAAAAATAAAGATACCATGAAATACATGGCTACTTTTAATAGGTACTTGCAAGTTATTACAATATGAGATTTACGGAAAAAGTGGTGCAAAAAGTACCCTAGATTGTTCAGAGTTTACAGTTGACATAAATGCGGCTTGTTTTAAATTACTGTGGAACCTTTTGTAGAAACTATAGAAAATGATAATAATAATACTAAAAGTTAGTCTTTGATAAATGAAAATATACATTGAGTTGAATTGACGTTTACATTTTTTTTAACTGTAGGTAAATAATATGTAAATGACATGGGACCTTACAAATAATTACTGTCGTAAGCATATTTTATGCATTGGAACATTTATAATTGAAAAATATCAATGGGTGGTCTGGATCAATATTACTATCTCCCGAACTGAATTTAGTTTCATCCTATAATTGCCTGTATATTGTTTGCAAATCATCTCTTCGATTTCGATCATAAAATTGCAACGCCTAAATAAACATTGCTTTTTTAAAGTTCTTATTTATGCAAATGTATATTTATTGAGTGAATCAATGTATATCATGTCTTATACTAAATTATTTAACAACATAAAATTAGTAATTCAATTTTTCCAGACGTTACACGTTTTTGTCTCTCCTGAAAAATGTTAACATTTCTGTACTTAGCGATTTATGCAGGTAAAACATTAAAGTATTTTGAGAGTTTACAAAGGACTAAATCTCATTCAATTAGATAGGTACAATCGGCAAAGAAATTATTTAATAGATAAAGTAACAACTAACATCGTCTTATAGGTACCATTAAATATTATCAGTATGTGAATTTTATCTGATTATATGAAGCATACTTTATTTACTCGTATACCTTTTATTAATTAACTAATCCATCCAATAGATCATAATATTATCCAAACTTATACGGTTAATAATTAAGTTTTATAGGCACTTAATGTTTTTCTAGTTATTATTATCGGGTGGTACCTACAATCATATCGAAAAAAGAGAGAAAGTAAGGACTAAGAAACTAGGTAAGTAATATAATATTATATAATATATTATTGTACCTATCTTTAAACGGCAAACCGTATTTTAAATCCTTCAATCACAATATAGATTTGACCTGTAGACTTCGGAGAATTGTTTGTGGCAAGTGTCCTATAGGCTATAGAGTATCTATAGAGATACTCCTATGGCTTTCACCGGTTGTTTATACTACTTTTATAAGTGGACACGCATTGTTTGGATTGGTATGTAAAATATTATGGGTACTCAAAATGAGTAAAGTAGGTAATGTTTATTGTGAAAATAAATCAGGGTAAAATATATACCGCTGTTGTGATTCTCCTTATCAAGGGCGGTTTCGATTTCGTCGAATCACAGATCAAATAAAACATTTTGTTATAATACCATAAGGCTTAATGTATTCTCTTGTCGAATCGACTAGGTATATAGTTTAAACTTTTACTTGTCTTTAATTTCACGTTGTAATATTGTAATAAGCAATAGCTATGATAAATTCAGAACAATCGATTGTAACAGTAGATACCGAAAACAGCTGACTAGGTAAGCACTAATATAAATAAGTGGTTATTATATAAACTTAAGTTGTACAAATACACGCGTTTATCAACATTTTTATTCATATTATTATATACATTGATTATCAAAGATCGATACCTAGTACAGTATATTATCAACATCCAGACCTACTAATTATATTATAAGGTAATTCTTAAAAAACAAAATTATAAATATTATTATTATTATGAAAAAGGGTGAAGGGTGTGCACATTTAATTTTAGTAGAAGATAATGTGGAATAATTAGCGAATATATTTTGTCAAACAGATATATTATTAATAACTATTAGTTGGTTATTTACAATTGTTCTTATTCCTAGGATTTAATTGCTGCTATCAATTTTAAAGACATGAAAAGAGCAGGTGAAATAACATTATACTCGGAAACTGATGTGACTCCGTTAAAACGACAGTGTGTAGCTGCTAATTCAAATGGGTTTGTTTTAGTAAGTTCAGCGCTCAATGGGATGTGTAGGGATTTTCTTAAATATAATACGAATAAACTGCAGCCATGTGAAATATTTCTGGAAGAGACAAAATTTGAATTATACAATTTATTATGCAAAATAGTTCGAGTAGTACCTATAAAATTTAATTTGAGGTTACATGTTACGTACAAAAACCGTTTCCTTGATGAAAGGGTTGAGGCTGGGAAAAAAAAAAAATTTCAAACATCTGCTTGTAAAATGATTGTCGCAAATAATCCAGTAATAGATGCAGAATTTCAGAAACTGTTACTTAAAAAAGAAAAATATGAAGATGGTATATTCAAATTTTTTTCTGAAGTTACCATTGATAGCTTTTTAGTCAGTGTTGTTACAGACATTTCTTTTGGACATTTCCCATTAATGTAAGTTTTTCATAATGTGAAGAAAAAAAAAGAGAAAAAACTGATTCATTTTTTAAAAAATAAAATGATTATCAAAATATTTTTAATGAATAATATTATTATGTTGACTTTTTTATATTTGTATTTTCTATGTTTAATATCAATACAAAACCAGTGTGTTCTTTTATTTTCATCTACCTACATAAAATTAATATATTGTGTTAAGAAAATTAATTATTTATAATTACTGGAATTAAATGTACTTCCATACACAAATGTATTGTGTGACAATTATATTGAATCTTTAATAACATTCTATTATTATATTAATTTAATTTGAGAGTCTTCAAGGCACTCTTCAAAATTAATTTGTTAGTTAAATATTTTAAATCAATATTTTTTTTACAATTACTTTTAAATTGAAAATGAAAAATGTTCTCAAACAATTTCTTTGAAAGTCTTTTAGAATCTACAAGTATATGTACATGTTTTGAAATTATCATTGGATTTCATATTAAATATTGGTATTGGAGTTGTTTGTTTTTGTTTAAAAAAATTCTGTGATTCCGATGTGGAAGACTTTACATAGATTTCATTGTTTTCTATTACAAACAAAATCCTACAGGAAATGAAAGTGTAAACAAACTATTTAACAATTTACAAAATCAATTGCATTACTTTAATGTCATAACAAGTATTTAAAGTTGTACATAGTATTCACAAAATTGGTCGTGTAAACTAACAAGATTGAAGAGTATTTGACTAGAATAAAAAGTCAACTAGACAGTATAAAAGACAAAGGGTGAATTTAATTTATATTAATCATCTTGTCCTTCAAGACTAAATAGGCCGGTTTTACTTAACAACCATTTAAATTCATCGTGAAGCACGAGAATAAGTGCCGATCCGGTAGAACGAATCATGTTTGGCGCCATTCCTCGATACAGTCCCATTATACCCTGAGATTTCCATAGTTTGGAAAAACAATCCCTCGCATTTTGGTATATTTTTTCTTCATGTGAAGTTTGTACAATCAACACTCTCCCTACTGTGTCCAGAGGATAGCTTAACACTTGTGACAAAAAAGTGGAGATCTGAAAAAGTAATTATGTCGATTACTTTATTTTTCTATAAACGTTGAACAATTTTTTTATAACTAATTCTTACCTGGGCAGTGGCAAAACGAACCCAAAATGGTAACTTGACATCTTTTTCTTTATTGGAAACTAAACTATTTGTATGATCTAGTATGACTTTGTTGAAGCTGTAATAAGCTCCAAAATAAATGGCTTTGTTTATTACCATTCCATTAGCTGCTATTGCAAATCCTGAACAAACAATGAAAAAAAACAATTTCTATTAAACTATTAATGTACACTGAGGTGGACGAAGCTTATTCGCTATGCTTATCAGATGAACTCTTCATTTATTTATATATTACAATTATAAAAAAACAAAAGTCAATGTATTGTGTATTGAAAATATATTATAATAATACAATGTATAATTATATATTATGTAGTCTCCAATATTCACAGAACTTTTTCTAAAAATCAGTGGCTTAGTCGTATGCTGTGTGTACTCGGCTCCCACTTAAGTACAAGTACACACAGAACATGAAGAATGGTAGTAGGCTACACAGTATATTCTACGACTACACCATCGATTTAGATATAAGTACATTATCAACTACATGACTGTTATTTTATATATACCTGTATATAAAGTTCGAACGCCACTAGTTTGCACTGTTTTTTGTATACAATCAATGAGTCCAGTGTATTCTCGATCCACTAACGGGCCAACGTGAGAAGCCAGATGAGTCTGACAGAAAAGTAACGGGTAAAACATACACAGGGTGGTGGCACCGGACAAACCACCAGAAATAAGACTTAGTGCAGTGTGGCTCCAACCGTTGTCTTTGTGCTTTATGTTACCCAGCAAAAATTTCAGGTAAAACGTATTCAGTCCAAACATCACAGCCTTGTTATGATATATGAGAAAAAAAATTTTATATTATACATACATTTTTCTAAACAAAACTAGTATTTTAGTTATCTCATAACATTTTTGATTTGCTTACCTGTGAAGGTACAAATCTTAAAATGTTGGTAAAATTTCCAAACCATAATGCTCGTAAACCTTGTTCACGATAAATTTGATTTAATGTAGTTAAGATTCCTGGATGGTAATGAGAATGGTGCCCATTCGATAGTGAAGTATAATGAACCTAATAAACCAATATTTATCATTAGATATTACGAAAATATTTAAGCTACTATATAAGACAAAAATGCTTACTTGGGAAATTATTTTAACTCTATCAAATGGGGCAACGACAGATCGTGCTATCGCTGTGGCAACAGCACTGGACACTGCGTCCAAACTGAATTCATGAAGACTAGAACGTTCTTTGTCCTTTTTCTGAAATATAACATACATTAAAAATTAATTTTCTTTTTCTTTTATACTTTAATGAAAAGTTTAGAAGTCTATTTAAGCAATTTTTTCTTACACATAATACAATTTATAATTGAAGATATAAGGATACAAGTCACTTATAACATTTTAGTTCTCATTGTTTGAACTATATGTGTATAAGTTTACATAAAAGAATTTTAGTAACTTTCATTAACACAATAAATGTAGTTTTACTGGAATGTGCTTTTTGATGTATTATTTTTAAACATGTCGATAAAAGATGAAACAATATATTTTTAAGTATGTTTATACCTTATTTATTTGTAAAATATATAATACATATAATATAATCAAATAAGTATCATTAAAAATAGCTAACAATAATGTGAAAAGATGACACATAACTTATGATTTAATATTAAGTTTTGTGTTAATACAACTTGATATTATTAGGGTTAGGCAAAGATATCCATAGTTATTCTATAATATTGGTTCATAAACATTTTTATTTCTAATCTAAAATTTACAATCTTTCATTAAAATCATATTTGTCAATACTTCAGGATAAAGAATAGTATGTATTAGTTATATTGATAGGGTTAAAATTTAACTATGAAAAGTCCTGTTTAGCAATAACAAGAAAACATTAGTTATTCTTGTTAAAGAAATATATTATCACTACAGCTATTGAGACAAACATATTTTAAATTTGTAGAGCTGTCAACACAAAATAAAAAATAATAAAGACAGAAAATGTATAATCATTAAAACAAAATACAAATATCTCATATTATACCATTAGTTTTTTGAAATATTTAATAACACGAACTATGGATATCAGTTCATGCTAACTGCATTGTCTGTACATTTATAAGATGATGTCAACAACCTATTCTAAACAATTACATACAAGTAATACGCTGACTAATCTAATTTTAAAATACTCGATTATTTAGTGGTAAAGTGTTAGCATTAAAGTACCAAAAAAAAACATTCACTTGTATAAACATACACGTTGAACAAAAGTAATACTTCAAATACTGTTAGTATTTTATTTCATTATTCAACCATATTTTCTATTACGCAACATAATTAATGTATAAGTATTTCACAATAATTGGCATATCTTCAAACTTAATTTTAACTAGTATAATTATCACATTTGCTTAAAATTGTTTTAAACTTTTAGCTAAATAATTGACTAACACTATAATAAAAAAAAGAATGTTATACAAAAATTGGCATTATATAATATAATTTATAAGCACTAACAAACTATAGTAAAGGACAAGTCCCATAAGTTGTTTTCCCCCTTTTTAACCTTTTACTGTTCTATAGCATTGGTTACAAATACTATAATGCATTTATAATCAATGGTTCTACTAAATATAAATACTTAAAATAGAAAATGTTAAAATTAACCTACACAATTTTAAGAGCCCGATATAATATCCTTTAGTTTAAAATATATTTAAATACTTTAGTTGATAAATTTGAAGAAAGCGTCTAAACATTTTGGTCTCTTTTAACTTATTAAGTAGTATAAAACTTATGGATTTGAATAAAACCTACCTACTTAAGGTATAATACTTTATACATTTATAGCTACAGATAGGAAGGTATATTTAAATTAAAAAATTTTAGATAACAACTAACTTACTAAAATAAACCTACAAAGGATTTTCAAATAGTATACTTTAATGTTTTTTAATTTTTATTTTTTAAGAACTTAGAAGACTACTATAATCTAAATTTTTTAAATATAATAGTCAAGGAATCAAAGTTGATTCAAGTATTTGTGAATACTAAATAAAACTCACTGAAGCCGTAATTTAGCCTTGTCGTACTACGATACTGACGGTAGACGGCGATGACAGCAAACGATCCTTCGGTATTCGATGTTGGTCACTTGCCATATCAATACATGACTACTTTCCGAAGAAGAGTATGCACAACAGTACGGCTGAAGTATTTTACACAGGAGCACCGACGCCGGTAGAGTATACTGTGAACGCTTACTTGAGTGCGGAACAACAGGATAATAGACAAGTAGTATAGAAGGATAGAGTACGTGCACGAGATCGTGTATGCACTTCAAGCACGAGTTACGAAAATGATGGCGCCGCAAGATGTTGCTCAACGATGGTAGGTAGGACAAGTACAAATTTAGGCGGCCAAGGTCGTCGACGGTATTTTTAACGCACAATGCCCCCGTGTCGGAATGGTAAACAAAATAACGACAAGAAAAATGACCGCTGGTACCTATTGCGAAATCGCCGAGTACCGACAGCACGGTCGTCCTCGCGTTATCACTGGACGTACACCGTAAGCCGTTATCAATTCCAAAGACTCAATAGGACAGTCGTCAGCTGCTCATTCGGCCCGGCGCTGGCGAGTGACGACGGAGCCAACAGTTATTGTCCGACATCCGCATTGTAAGAAAAATAATAAAATATAATGATAATTGTTTTCGTCCGGTTTTCCGGCTCGTCGATTAGACTAACTGCCGTCTACATAGAAACTTGGTCGTTTCCGTTGGAAAATTCATTATAATTGCATACGCAGCACACTAATAATCCACTAGAGTACATACTCGAAACGCGGTTACTGCGCGTTCCGTTCCGTACAGCAGCTGGTCACATGGATCGATTAGCGTTATCAGTATCACCAACAGCAGTGCCCAAGTGAACACAACAAAAGGAATTCTTATATATTGTTATTATTATTATTGACACCATCGAACATATTGGAAAAGTTCTTGTAGAGACAACTTGAACCGTGCAAATATTTCAGCCGGAAAAAATTTGTGGCATTGGTCGGATCAAGTCGTTTGCCAATTGACGACGGTGTGTTCTAATTCGGTTGTGCCGTGCGTTTTTCACGCTAGACCGCCGTCGTGTATCGCCAATGACTTGACGGGACACCATCAACATTGGCATGTCGCTTGAAACCGACGGTTGTGCGCAGCAGAAAGAGTACGACTATCTGCTCAAGTTTTTGTTGGTCGGCGACAGTGATGTGGGCAAACACGAGATGCTCAATGATCTCGAGGACGGATCTTCCGAATCGCCCTATTGTAGCGGAAGCGGTAAATCTCAATACCTAACTATTTTTGCACTAGTCGACAATATTAAATTCTTATTTTATTATTAATAAAAATTAGTCATTATGTTGTCTCCTATTATTATGTTGACAATACAAACATACGACAATAAGTCGTTGGTTTGTTTTCCATCAGGCACCGTGAGTGTCTAATTTTAAAATGTAGACCATTTCGTATTAAGATTGTTCCGAGTTTGAAATAGGTGTTATAGTTATTAGGGTGGAGGAAAAAAATAGCTGTTAGGGGACTTGAGTTGAATCGTGTCTTGACTTGGACTTCAACAAATTCATAATGCGAAGTTGTATTTATATTATTGTGGAAATTGTGTTTATTTTGCTGCTAGATAATTTGGTAATAAATATGTTCACAAATCTGTTTAATGTAAACTTAGATAGACGAGGGCGCTTTACCAATTATATTTTTTTTGTTTGCGTCAGCTATAATTAATTCTAAAATAACTCATCTGATTATGTTATCATATTAATTTTGTAATTTAGCTCAGTATTACTATAATTTCAAAATTTATAGTTACTTTCATGGCAGCAATGTTATAATAAAACTTATTAACCCATCAACGATAAGAATATATTTGATTACCATGGTGTCTCGTCTTTGATGGGTTAATTTTTTGGCTTATAGCCAAACCAGCTATAAGCCCAAAAATGCCAAAACTATACTGTCTAAGCCCCGATCGGTGGATTAACGGACGTTAAATGTAAGAGACAGAATATAAGACACATAAAAATAGTTTTCATATGAACAAATTGTATAATATACTATTAAGTATTATTACATATTTTGTTGTGTGTAAATTATCATTTATTTTTAAATTGTATTTACAGCTTACAAAACTACAACTATTCTATTAGATGGTAAACGAGTAAAATTACAGTTATGGGATGCTTCTGGTCAAGGACGTTTATGCACGATAATCCGATCTTATTCAAGAGGCGCTCAAGGAGTTTTACTTGTTTATGATATAACTAATAAATGGTCATTTGACGGTTTGGACAGATGGCTAAAAGAAGTCGAAGAAGTATGTATTCAAATAAATCCTTTTATTCAAACCAATCATTAAATTATGTACCTATTCATTTTAAACTGTTTTAAAAACTAAATTTGCATTTAAAACTAATCTGGCAAGTAGGTATAATAATAGGTTTATTGTATCAGTACTGTGTGTTAAAAGTACTAATGTAAATGCATATTTATGTACAAAATATGTATTATTAATGAGTAATGACACACTAGACTTAATCATATTTATTTTGTACATCAATTTGCATTTACATTAGTACTTTTGAATCAACATTTATAGATTTTCGCTATTAATAATAATATAATGTTCTAAATTAATGCCATCAATTAAATTTTATCTCATTATTATTTGTTTTATGGTTTTAATTAGTGTATCCCTAGTTATAAATACTGTCATCAATTGAGTTTTATATATTATAGTATAGATAACCTTTTTTTTTGTAATTGGTGGAGGTTCAATTTTTGTTAAAAATTAAAATAAAAAAGGTATAAATTATAATAGTTTTATCATTTAATTGTAGTAGGAATATTCTAATATTAAATAATATTTTTCTGATTAATTCAAAAATAAATTTAAAAAAAAAGAGTATTAATCAATTAGAAGGACGAAAATTGATTTTTTTTTACTAATAAGTTTTCAATAACATATTATTGTTCTACTATTTATAGCACGCACCAGGTGTTCCTAAAGTCTTGGTTGGCAATCGATTACATCTGGCTTTTAAACGACAAGTCAGCGTTAAAGAAGCTGAGGCCTACGCGACAAAACATCATATGACTTTGTTTGAAGTCAGTCCTTTGTGCGATTTCAATATAAGAGAAAGTTTTAGCGAATTAGCAAGAAGAGCGTTGCATAGAAACGGAATGGAAAGATTATGGAGATCGAACAAAGGTAGACACAGCTTATATTATATTGAATTAATATAGTTAATTAACTTTAATAACTAAATGTTAAGCCGCGTTTACACTTGTGAGCCAAACCTTTTGTGAATCGTTTGAGAACCTGTCCAAATTTGATTTGGTTTGCATTCAGTTAGTGTTAAAAACCTGTCAGAAATGGATTCTTGCGAGCGGCTCGGTTAGGTTCGCCTCGCGAGTGTATACGTGGCTTAATATAAAAAGTATACAGTAAAAGTGTTAAATACTAATTCGTTGTGGTTTTTTTCATCCTTAGTTCTGAGTCTCCAAGAATTGTGTTGCCGTGCTATCGTAGCTCGAACCACGCAATACGGTATCAACCAGTTACCTCTGCCAGTAACGATAAAATCCCACCTAAAGTCTTATGCACTGACGAGTTTCTCGACACTCTCAATGTCATTACCACGAAGTGCATCGGCTTCAAAGAAAATAAAACTGCCTTCTAACAATACGGGTGTCTCATCGCATAACCACGCCACTCATTCAGTGTCCTATCATCATAGTTTAAAAAACACGCCATTAAACATTTCATCATCGTACATTACACGAAACTCTTGTACTATATCATGACTCGTATCATAAATTGTGTTAGTGTTGTTGCAATAAGTCAACTGATTTAAAATATATTTAAACATTTTTTTTCTTTTAATAATTGTAATTTTTCCTATTTTTGTCAATAATTTGTATCTGCGATTTGTGTGAATAACATTGCTTAAAAATATCAACTGTATTCGAGCAATAATGTAATAATAATTTGTCCACGTTGAAAAGAAAATTCTAAACTTAATGCTGTGTATACTTAAACGCATATGTTGAGATAAATTTTTAATCGGTACAATTTGTATTTTATAATATGGCTGTAATTATTGCGAAACTATAATATTTTTTTCGAAGCTTTCCTTATTTTTCGGTTATTTAATGAATGGACGACTGTATTTATCATTATTATATATTATTATTATTATTATTATATATTAGTAAACTTATGTAAATAACAAAAGTATGTAACTCACTTTTTTAGTCATTTTATTTTTTTGCATTTGTGAATTCTAACTATTTTTTCTTTTATAACTGTTTTCGACCATTTTTTTTTTTATTATATTTTTTTATTATTATTGTTTTCGAAAAATTACATTTTTTAACATTGATGAATAAATGTTGAACTTTAAAGTCATCATTCCTTTGTAAAATCAAAATGTGAGTTTGTTCGCTAACTAACTACCAGTGTTACTATTATATTAGGTAATAGGTAATTTTTTTTTTAAATAAACTTCATTCCTACACGAAAATAATTGCATTTAATACTTTTCCGAGTGTAGACCAATGGCAAGTCCACAAATAAGTATTTTATAAGTATCGTTAAGCCGTGTGTGTTTTCGGTCGTATTTCATCAGTTTTCATTACCGGTGCAATATGTTTTACTATTAAAACTCGTGATTCAAAATCGCCATTACTGACTTACCTGAAATTTGGATATAGTGTCGAATGATGTGATCTGCATGAACCATTGACGATCATTAATATTCTTCGTTCAATCAATGCGATATTTTATATTGTAGCGTTTTTACTACACACGTGTAGTCTATACTCTGTTTATAAGAAACCAGTACTGGTTTGTTAGTAGTGGGCGACCACTATTAATACATATTAATAATATAATACACAATATCTCTACGAATACGCGGTCACGTTAACTTATATTGTTATTACAAATATCGTATAACCCAAGCTGAAGGCATGTTATTGTAATCTAATGCACGAGGGACTTCGCGTATGGTAATTAATAATAGCAAGTAACATTTAATAACAATAATTGAAGTATATTATGTAGGTAGTAGATACCTAATTTTAAGTGAAAACCGTTTTCGGGAATTGGGTGTGTGCGTGTGTACGAATCCTTAGATGTACAATATAGTGTTCGTATTACATATTAAAAAAAAATACACCTGCTCTCAGCTTAGTTATTAAATAATGCATCGTTCAAAAAATGTACATAGTTTTGACTACCGTACAAACTTTAATGCAATGAATAAAAATAAGGTAATAAAACGGACTATATTAACCGAAATATAAATACTTAATAAAAATAATACTTTTTTGGATCATCCAATTTAAACAAACCGAAACGATCAATAAAAGAACAAAATAGAAAAAAAAACGTTTTAAAATAATATTTAAACAAAATTGCTACCTTTTTTAATACCAGAACATTACTATTCAAGATTTAAACAAATCTATAAAAAAGTAAGTAAAAATAAGTATTCATTTCCAAACGAATTTTTAGAATAACATCGTAACACTACTAACAACATTGTAACACTGTTTTTTACACACAAGTATTACTCAATTAATTAATGTGTTAATATAACTTGATAATAATAAATATTTTTCTAAACCTGATTACATTTTAACTTAGGTACTTATAAGAAAATCGGGGTATATTTATATATAAATTTAGTAAATTTTAAAATACGTGTACAACATAATACAGCAATTATTGTTAACATATCATATTTTATAATTTATATTATTGGATTTTATTAACCATGTTGGATATAATAGTATTTATTTCCTACAAAAAAAAAGTAGGACTACTAACTATTACTACTACAAAATAATAGTAGCTGTTAATATTAGTGATGGGGAATTTTCCGAAGTTTTTTTAGTGGGTACTGTATTTCCGTAAAACATTTTAAAACTTAAATTTTATTGTTTATCTTTACCCAAATTTTATGCGTTCTAACTCTGGTTATAACTTTACAATTTTAGCTGTTTTTAATTGTTATATGTCATATATTATATGATTTCCGTTTAGTTACCTATACTAAAAGACTCGACCGATATAATATAATAGTGTTATAGTGATAGAGTCGTGCGAGATCATTGATATATATATACAGATATATTATTAACTAGTACATTTATACTCTTAAATTAATTAGGTACTTGGCGATAGTAGCCAAACACCGTCTACTATGATAAACACAACATATATTATTTAAAGTAAGACGCTAAGTTCAGCTGATAATATGACAACGATTTGTCATTAAAAAAAAAAAAGTTCAAATAATAATAAAAACTAAAAATATAATTAAGTAAAAACTCAATTACCTACACATTAATAACTACACATTTATTTTCACTTGAAAAATTTAAATAAATATATTTTTACATTTTCAATAACTGTTAAAAATTAAAATATATTTAAATTTCATAAAAACTAAAAATGTTTATTTTTTATTTAAAATTGTGTAAAACATTAATTATTATATATTCCTACGAATAAACAAATTGTGCCATTTAAATCAAATTAGTCCGAAGTTATTGTATAAACCTTTCATACAATTCCATGACAGAAAACTTTCAAATTCGTGTTTAAAATGTTGTATTGTAAAGTGGTTTTGCCTCGGGTACCTTCATTTGCAAAGTTAGTTTTGCAAGTCTACTAAATGTATATAGGATGGCCCTAAATTGTAAAATATGTATCCCTGGGGTTTGGAAGTTTAGTTTCCAGTATTCCAAAACTGAACTTTCAAATAATAGGGATGAGTTTAGTGTATTTTAGGGGGTTTATTTAGTGGACATTTGGCAAATTTCAAAAGTTGAAGACAATATTGTTCTATTTTTTTATTAAACTAGTATTTTTTTAAAAATAAAAAAAACATTTTTTATAATTGTGAGATGTATTTGAATACGATGCAGTTGATCCCCTTCTCTTTAGACTATTACGCTTTTTTAGCCAACAATACAGATGGATATTGAAGATTGAAGGCGACAGGCGGGACTGTTTTTTTTAACTGTACCTATAGATATATTGTTTCCGCACTGAAAACGATTATACAATTGGCTGTCGGACTCCAAGGATTTTTTTCACTCTGCTAGCACTAAATAAATGTTTCGAAAAAAGAGAAAGACGATCTTAATTGCGTTTGAAAACAGTAGGGAAAGACAAAAAAGTAATTTGTTTCATGCCTTTATTATATTATAGACGGCAACAATCAAGGGCAGCTAAGTATCTCATTGTCAGTTTTTACCCTGGCTTTGGGCTATTATTACAGTTTTAATTTAAAATAATTATCGTTATGTTTGAAACTTTTAAATATAACGACAATGAAAAAAAAGTAAATACCAGAGGAACAGTTGTGATACTTTTTTTAATGACCTACTCGATTTCTCCTTATTGCTGATCTCATCCGCTTAATTCTATTAATCTGCCTAGTCTTTTATTAGTTCCAAAAAAGTTTTGTTATGTTCAAGTAACACTAAAAATGTGAAGTTCTTTGTTTGTACAGGCATTTGATAAAAAAAGTTAAAATCATATTATTCAGAGGTTTCATCCAAAACTACCAGTTGAGCGGTCACCATTCTGGCCTATGTCTTTAGAGTTCAGCCGGATCTGTTTGCAAAGATAGCCGTTAGGTAAGTACTAAGTACATCTAAATATCTAGATAAATCATGCCTAAAACCGTTAATATTATTATTATAACTGTTAACAAATAATAATAATAAAAAAAAAACTAAGTACATAATAATCGATCAAAAACATCTATATTATAATATTAATTATGTACAGATATTTTTGGCGTTATTACAGAATAATAGTAAAATTTTAAATTATACACTAAAAAATAAAAACAGAAAGATTCGTAGTTTTTTAATTTTTGATTATTTTTTATGATTGCGAATAATTTTTTTAAAACAGGCTTAGATTAAAATATACACTACAAGTATACCTCGCTTATAATTTTTCTGGTTTCGTAATAAGGTTATCATTAGGTATTTTTAATTAATAATGTTATATTTAAACGACTTTAGTTTAGTGCGAAACAAAATAATAACTTAAAAAAAAAGGTTCGCTCTTTGGTCTTATAAAGATATATAATATTTTAGCAATGTGATAGTTAGCTTATTATTATAATTAATTAGATGTCGTATAATATTCACTCGTCTTAAATTGATACCCGTAATAATTATTATTGTACTTATAATTAACATTGGCTTAAAACCTGCAAGCAAACAACTTGTTTTTATTGATTAGCTGGTTGAAATACATTTGGTTTTTTGTTTTTTTATTAATATTAACAGCTGTTGTGGTAAACCCATGACTCAAGTATAACACATACTGCTAATGAACGTACAAAATTCAACGCGGTCACAAAGTATGTAATACACAATGGGTTTCCAACGTGATATTTTAAGCTTGGGTAACAGTCAAGAAGGGAATTTTTTATAATTTGTTTCTTAGTAAACTTGAGTCGGTGACATGACAATGGTAACTTGAAACCACACGTGAAATGTTACGCATGTGGTCAGACGGTTGCAGCAATTATTATAAGTTGTGTACGACCAGAGAGGTTATCATTTAAGTGTATATATATATATATTTTTTATTACAATATGCTCATTAGATTTTATTAGATTTATATCATCTTTTGGTTGTAATTGTTTTTTATATAACTATTAATTAATATAAAAGTATTACACGAGTGACTAGAACGCAGCTAATATTATACACATAAAAGTACACAATATCGTAAAAGTAAAATAATATAATTAGTAGAGATAGGCCGATATCTAGTATCGGCCTACCACTAATAATTAGGCATTATGTAATAATAATAAAAGTATAATTAAAATAAATTAGCCGTTAAAAATACTTTTTAAAATTAAAATTTAGCGGTGCTGTAAGTACACCAGAATTGATACGTATCTTTGTATTTTTGAGGCGTACGCTAACCTCGACCTAACTACTTATCTAATTGATTTTTAAGAGAAAACTATTTTATTTTAATTGGTTCATTGAGCTTATACCATTATATACCCTTAAAAATACAAAAACAATTTTTTTCATATTATTGTTGTTCGTGTAAGCAACACGATAATAATGATAATAATAATAATATATAAATAATTGTTATTTATGTATTTTTTTTTCTTAAATTTAGATTTATTATTATTAAATATTAATTCAAACGCGTTTATGTATTTAAAGGAAACGAAAAATATACATATTGGAAATGTTACAATTGTTTGTTTTTTGTCTTCAAATTAGTTTCATTATTTTAAAATAAAAAATTATGATTGCGTTAAAAATGTAAATGTGTTTAAACTGGGGCCGAGTGGGTCGCCGCCGACGACGTTGGAAAGAACGAGAAACATTGTTCACATTATTGTACATTTTCCTTTTTCCGCCCAAGGGTTGTTCTTTTTGTCAGGAGCGTGAATCAGTGGATCTGTTTTCTCGTTTTCTTCCACAAATTCTCGCATGCTATGGAAAATTAAATAAAAAAATATTTAGTTGAATTTATACAACAATATATTTATGCAATAATATAATACAATATAAAAAGTAGTGAGAAACCAAAAGAGTTCCAGCTCTATTTCCAAGACACCGTAAAAACCCTCTTTATTTTATTTATAATTTGTGTAGGTGCGACTTTTCTACAGCAATTAAAATAGTTCTATTGGAAAGAAAACATCATATTGTAAATTGCAAATATTATAACTGTTTCGGTAGTTTGTAAAAATGCTATGTGCCATTTGGACTCTCACTAGTTTATATAATATACTTTTTAAAATGAACAACACGCTACACGATAGTTTTCAACGCACGGCACACAATTAGGATAATTACTCAATATTGTTGTACTCATTATTTTTATTCATTGGGTAGCAACGTAGTTATAATAACCTCATTGCTTTGGATTTTTTTTTCTAATCAACCGTCCTGGGTAAAGCTTATTTTGTTGATATTATAATTTTTATCATCAAGTTAACTATATGTTTATCATTTTCATTTCACTACAAAGTAACACAATCATTTTAAAATCGAATTGTGTAAATAATGCGTGACTATTGAATATCGGCCATAAGACTTATTATCAGAAGTCAAAACAATGTTGTCGTTAGCTCGTCTTCCGAAGATGGTTATAGTGTCGTCAAATTACAACAAACAAGGAAGGACTTGCAAGTATAACATTATTTTAATGTATATTCATTTATACGTAAAAATAGTGCTATCGGAAAGAGCTTTAGTAACCCGTGTAAGGCCGTCGCTGTCATGGGTGGGTTTAGGAATGAAAAAAAGATAAACATGTGTATAACCAATAGTCATAGAGCCTAAGTTTATTTGTAAAAAAAATACAGATTCTAATACATTGTATCATAAAACAAAAAAACTTAAAAATACACTTTTAATGCATTAAATTAAGTAGATTAAGTGTAATTAATATAAGAGAGGGGCTTCAGCCCTCATAGTCTTCCTTCCTTGTATTCTTGTACAAATAATTAAACAATATATTTTGGCGGTTTATAAAAGCGTTCAATCCATATGCTATGATCGGTTTATGTACACAAAATGAACGCGAGCCAAAACCGTAACACGTACTTATATTGCTTATGGGTAAAGTCGAGAATTTTGTTGGCCGATACTTAGCAATTTGGAAATTCGTACAAATTATACCGTTGGTTTTACATGCAGTACAAACGATATGACCAAAATGTATTCACAAGAATGAGTTATTCCTGTGCCTAATGTATGCTGCAATAGACGCCGCAGTTAGACTACAGTGTATGTAAGCATAATATGTGTGTGTTGTGGCACCCGCGTGATCGATGGCAGCAACTGCTCCACAAGCTTTAACGGCGTGTAAACCCATTTTTCGTCTAACAAATAAAATAATATGTCAACGCATACATAGCGTTATACGGAATGCGTTTGGGGATTAGGTATCATGACTGGCATCGTATCAATAAAGGGATAACAGCTATTCTCGATTGAAGTACAATATAATATCATGTGAACAAAACGCAAGACGTTGTTGTAGGTACAAAATTGTCTGCGGTACGAAATTATAGAATAATATCAGATAAAACATAACATATAATACTGTTTAGGCTTTAGCGGAAACTACGGGCTAACAGCTGGTATTTTTTTTTTTTTTTGTTACATTAATTCATAACGCGATCGTTTGTCGGCCGAGTACTATGATATGGTAGTATGGGATATTATATACATGTGTAAGTTCGGAGCAGCTTTTAGTGAATCCTCGAACCTTTTTTCCCCCCAACCTATGAATGTTTGCTTGAGGCGTAAAACACCAGCTGTGAGTGTAAAACCGCAGCAGTAGTTACACATGTTATACCAAAACAAAGCAGTAATAATTGTCTGAAATCATTTTTAGAGACGCAGCCGGGCTAGATAAACAAAATCACATAGATAACAATTTAAATGTACCTAATGGTAATTACCTGTAATATTAAGTCAAAGCAAACACCTTTAGTCGCGGCCTTGAGTAACGTAGGGTATAGTTACTGTGCTTAGCTGATAATAACAGCTGTAAGGTGCAGCTCGTGCAATACTACTTTAAATAATATGGCGTCCACCATGTATTCAAATACCCATAATGGCTTTTTCTCGAACTTTGAATATAATACCAACAGCTTGTACGCATTGAGCGTACCTACAAAGGAGAACACTAACGATTTATGTGTGTGTGTTTTCTTTTTCTTCAGGCACGGTTGACAGTTGTTGGTATTGTACCAGCTCGTTTTCCTTATTACTATACATGAATTATACATAAGACAATATTATATACGACTAAACGACGGTGCTGTATGGAATATTCGTCTGGAACATAGCGACGTGCACTGATGTCGTTAAGTAGGTGTATCTCAGAAATTTGACGTATGGCAACGTAATAATAATGCATGATAAATAAGAATACTGTTCAAAGGGAAGTATGGCATACGAAGTGTGACAAAGCCCTGCGGGTAACACGAAACAAAAATACGAGTGACTACCGTAAGGCGGTATTATTAACAAAGTATTTTAGTCGGGATATCAACGGGACTCCGAATCCATTTTCGAGGATTCTTACTGGGAGTGTAGTATTGAACACCGGGTGTTGAGCTTTCGGCAGCAAAAAAGAAAAATAATAGAAAGTAATATACGATATTTTACATTATAGAAAAGGGTAGTTGATCCGACGTCAGCTATGTCTGTATTATAGGTACCTATTTAATTCCCTCTGGAGTGGTAGCCTAAATCCCGTATCTGTCAGGAGTTGCCCCGGGCCGTCGTCGCTTGCTGTATATCCCAATCGACGGTTTATATAAGAAGGGGGAAAAAAGCGAATTCCCTTCGGAGGCTTACGTCTCTAAAGCCGACACTGCCGTGGCGATCGAGACCAAAGATTATAATGATATACGCTGTTCGGCGTGTGTTTATTCAAATGCAAATGAAACGATATCGGCTCGGTCCGGGCTACATTATTATACCTACTCGGTACAAAGTTTATAGGTATACTTAGAACGGTAGATAATGTGTCGAGATACCGTGCGTTGTGTGCGATTCCTGAGTACGGCTATAATGGCTGTTACAATATTATTATGATGGTTTGTTATGCATATTATAATGTAGAAAATATATAATCTAATATAAATAATTCAGCTGTAATAGCGCCGAATGACTCATATAGAGCAGCCGACACGCGAGTCTGGGTCAAATGTTATCTGGTCCGGAGCCGTCAGAATCTCAAGATTGTCTTACACGTTATTATAATTATTTTTATTATTGTTTCTAAACAGGTATATTGTATTCGAGATAGTAAAACGACACCGGCGTGCAGTGAGTTCGAATTATTCATACACTGCGCAATCTCGGCCGGCCATTCTCTTTTACAGTATACAGCTCCCTTGTTTATTCAAGCTCTCGCCCCTTTTACACAGTAGTCTTGCTTTTCCCGTACCTCCCCGCCCTCCTCTTCCTGCCTTGTTTCGCCGCCACCGGATGCTGAAACTTTACACACCCCAACGTGCACCTGTACACGACAAACGCATAAACTGTTACTTGCTACTCGAATGGCTGCCGTTTAACCGGAACGAAGAAACGACACCCGTGTGGTTATTGCACACAGACTGTTTGCGGTGCCCACGAAACGACCAATGTCCTATATTATGTTAAAATAAACCTGTACCCTGCGTAGAACGCATAGTATACCCTATATAGCTCTATACCCTAAATATAACTAATGTACACTAATAATAATATTATATGCCCGCCAGCCGAGGATGAAAATAAAAGCCGGTAATATTGAACATCTGCCTGCGGGGAAATTACAGCCCAGGACCTGAATTGTTGTGGTATATTTATTTTCGGGTCGTATTAAGATTTGAACCCCCGCAAACCGTTATATAAGGGCAGTATGTTGCAATATTGGAATTTTCGATACAGGTATACCGGGTAAAATTCTTTAAATGTATATGTGTTTCAGCAAATTTCATTAAAATACATTTAATGCCAAATTTCGTTAATCGTTTGTTACCTACAATATTACAGTATATTGTAAGAATAAGTTAAAGTATTAATGTGTACTTATTGAGAGCATAATAACTATAAATTTAGAACTAGAAAAATACTCTTAAAATATAATTTGCATTTTATGACTTATTAATATTTCATTATTCTCGGACGTCAAAAGTATTTTTTTTAAATTGTGTTTTGTTTATTTATTTTGATACGAAACAGCCGTTATATTAAAATAGTTTTAGAAATTAACAGTGTAGTGGTTTTTATTAAAATAAATACACTTCAACGATTTTAAGAGCATTTTTATGTATTGCATATTTAAGAAACATTGTTGAAAAAATATTATTTATGAATTTAGCTTACGGAGGAAAATAAACCTGTTCGTTACTTTATAATTCATATAGTACATAGCTGTAAAATGTAAATAATCGTTACATCACGAATTATCTTATTCTCTATATAGTGCCGGTTCGTTGATTATTTAATACGTACCTACATAGCTTTTTCGCCTTCTAATAGGTTTATTAAACCAAAAATACAACATTATTCTTGTTTGATAAATATAAGAAAATCTAAGGGAATATAAGGGACTAATAAACTTAGCCTTTAATCATTTCAACTAGACCAATTGATAAGATTTAAGGTTAAATTTGACTGTTTTTTTTTCGATCAATACACAATTTTTTTGACTGCTCCATACCAAAGTAATTCCAACGTTTTCTGGAAAATCGTTTGAAACTGTGAGTACAGTCAAGTAGTCAATTGATTTCCTGAACTACTTCGCAGAAGATAACGACAACGCGATTACGGGTCCCGTGTATAAAAGTCCCAACGGGTGGTATCTATACTCTTAGAGACGAATTTGATTTAACTCCGGGTAATAAGTTTTCTTCATTCGACGCACATACATGAGCTATATAAAATTATATAATTTTTTTTTATGTCCAAAGGGATTACTATTGATTTAAGGACAAAATCGTGTACGTGGTGTTCGTGACCGTCACAAATTAATGTCTTTGGGAAAATCCGTTTTCAAAAAGTCTCGCTCAAAGCGTTCAACAACGATGTGAAACGAATTTGTCTTAATATTAGCAATACGACCTTAGAGGGTGGCGAGCGGAGTATAAAAAAAAGTTCTATTAATAAACCGCACGTTTTGTTTCTTGTAACAACGCATTGCCCACTATAAAATACGATCATGACACGTTGTACCACGTCGGAGTAGTCTACTTATATGTACATACTATATTTGTAAGTATACAAACTAGATTCATTAAAACTGAAGAAAATAATGAATTATATTCAATATAATACATTTAAAAATATAAAACTTTTGTAACTCTGTATTTGAACAATAACAATTTGTTATAGAAACTACGTGTTATATGTCCATAGAAAAAATAAAAACTTTTATTTTGCGTTGGCTCTTTTGTAAACAGTTGGAAAGTGTTACTTAGTGCTTTTCATTTGAACGCCTGCGATGTAACGACAGAGTGAGGATACAACGATGATCTGATGGATTTATTTTTAAAATGTCTATAAGTCTTTCATAACATCTTCGTGGTACATACTAAGCACATTTATAAACATCAGCCCACCAACAGCGAAGTGGCGCTTGCCATTATTTTTCTGGAGAATTTAGATTAGTGGTGCAACTCAAACGGTTCTTCCTTCTCTGCCAGTTACGGTTACAACCGAATTTTTCAGAAAAACAATTTACTTCTAACTCTTTTTTATATATATATTATATTTTGAGGTTTCTGAAAAATACACTTAGGCATTAAAGGAGTGATACAATCATTTTGGTCGTTTCATATTCAAGGTCTAATATGAATGTCCGAAAACGACCCGAAATTAAAAGTTACCGAGTATGGGTTTCTAAACTTTCAAACGGTAATCCTATTGTCACAACAGAACGTTATGAGAGGCCGTAATCAATATTATATAATATGATTAATCCGCGTGTTTGTAAAGGGGGGTTATATTGTTATATCCTGGTATACATAATATGTGTACGGTAAACCACGAAATCGAAATCCATTGTTCCCCCCCCTCCGTTCGACCGGGAATTAAATCACTAACCCTGCATGATCAGAGTTCTTCGTGCCCGTACGACAGGACTCAAGATAATACAAATGTATTTTTACACACACATATATATATATTTATATGCATGCAGAATGTAGTATACATATATATACATATATTCGCTACTCCCTCTTAGAAATTAAATTAGAATTATTTAAAACAACACCCGGTTAGATATTTGTAATAATATTCTACTTTATGTCAATATCGTTAAACGGCTGATCAAAAAAATGTGTCGGTGCCACGATTCCCAGAAAAAATAGACCAACGATAAATCTACAAGTACTAGACTGAAATCATAATAATATCTGCACCCATATTATGTCAAAACCTGCCCACTTAGGTAACAGCTATGTAACATTAGTATATCATAAATAACGCTAATAGGTACACGTATGTAATTAAATAAACGTTAAACCGGCCACGTCGACGAGTGTCTAAAGTATAGAGTAATGAGTTTTTAAATTACACACTTGGCCGGAAGGTTAAAAAGAGATTTGCTCGTCATAATATGACTGCCCCGTGAACTGTGGTCACACGTTAAAGCGCAGAAATATGCGGGCAGCTCTGAGTTAATTGCACTTTACATTGCAAACTAGTCAAGCATATTTTATGTCTTTTTTTACCGGACCTGAAGTTGGTGGGTTGATCAGGTGCGTATTAGAAAACGACAAAGTATTACTATTATGGTGACCTAACCTACCGTGGATAGTATAATATGATCATGTCTCGGTTGCACGGAATTTCAATAACCTTATCATAGAATACGTGTTGGAAGACTCGGCGTAATGACTAGAAGTGAAGTACTGATACGGTTGTCGTTGACAATAAATTACAACGTTATATTATATCGAACACTAGTCGAGGCGACGACGATGACTTTGGCGAACCGATGCAATTGATTACTATTATTTACTATACTTTGATCTATACCGTGTTTAATGGTTCGTAATAGAAAATCGGTATTCGTCGGTGTAATGTAAATTGAGTCGTCGACGACAAAGGGCTGTTGACATGGAAAGCGCGATGGTAAAAGAAAAGAAACAAGGGTCAGATATTAAACGGCCGACCGATCGCCTGCAAACAAAACAGTATACCGTTTTGCCTTTATAATAGCATATACTAACTATTCAGTCTATAATATGTCTATATCGCATTGAAAAAAAATATATAGTAGGATCAACCAAAATTATGGTTAATATAAGTTAATGTGATACATTTATTTAGTTATTTCTGGTACATATCTTTTCCATGGGGATCTTTTTCAATGAGTATAGCCGCCCACTTGAACTTAACCATTCGACTTCTTCGTATCAAGGATGTTTGTCAGCAATAGTTTAACTGTGAGAAAACATATTAGAAACATTAAAAATCCTTTGACAAAGCATTCAAATATCCACCATAATATTATGATTAATATCGTTGAATCAGAGTCTATCACCATTGTAAAATATTCAAGTAATTCGGGTAAACATTTTGGAGTTATCCCCAAGTACGGGTATCCTGTAATTATTAGTTTTATTGTGAACACGAGTTTGTTAAGTAAACAAACAAAATTATCATGAAATAGGCTTGTGAAACTTCAAAAACACGTTTTGTGCGGCTATTCTTTAAGCTAATTTATCGCCATAAGATTATTATAAATTATTACTTAATACACTATATTAATATTAACACACTATATATAGCACAAGAGCCGTAGAATAATATCGCGCTACACGGAGTTACGGTTTGCTGGATTTTTTTTTCACTGATCTATTTTTTAATTGGATTTTAGTTTTTACGGTCCAACTCACCATGTTATGCATTTTATAAATTACCTTGGAAGTCGACGTGCCCACAAATTACCAACCCTCGCAGCAATTAAATTATTTAAATAAGCCAATCTACTATATATTGACCAATTATTATTATGATTGAAAATTTGCTGCGAATATAAAAATATGATTGTTTTTATGTCTTTTTTTCAGTTAGGGTATCCAGGATGGTAGGTAATTAATGTAGGGGACGCAAGGCTAATAGATGCAAATTGAAAACAATTTCTTGACTCGTTATGTATTCAATTAGCGGCATCGGCAATGGACATGCCCTATTGTATTCAAACTCGTTCGTCTGATTCGAAGTTTTCCAATCAAACCCAGACGGTGTCTTCTTCCGTTGACACGCGCTAATTAAGTTCTGATAAATTACCAAACGTCTTCAAACTAAGAATACAAAATCAACTACACCAACGGGCATTCGCACATATTACGTATCAGATATACACGGTTTTTTCGGATTTCGAGCATAATGGGATTCTTGAAAGTTTGATTTTATGGAATTATACGCTGTATAAACTCGGAAGAACGATACTTGAAAATTAAAGTAAAGCGATTTATACACTTTTAAAAACCAAATCACTTCTGCCCAGAGTAGGTCCTGCCTAGCTCCAGCCTAATAGTATAAATAAACACTTCATCGTAATGGTCTGCGCGGTCAACGATTTATTGGTTGCACGCGTTATAACCATCTTAAGTGCCTATTTGAGTGTGTTACTTGCCATTAGTCCAAGCAGAATTTACTGTGTTGCGTTTTCAGTGTAAATGTCTTTTTTTCGCTACGTTATTTTTTACCCCATTTAACACGGATTTATCGTCGAACGGACATATCGTTAGCAGTTGCTGCTAACGATATGTCCGTTTTGAGATTTGAGATCAGCCGGGCACTTTCGGCCGTGGGAGCCTTTTTCAACGTGCGACACGGCAACTCGACTTTTGACGGGTGCGAAAACCAAGATTAGACCAGGGCCCTCTCGCCCCTAAAGGCATATATCCCGTGGACGGACACAAAACCAAATCGAACGGCTGTGAAACAAATGCCGTTTTCGTTGCGCGTTTAGCCGGAGGGGCGAAAACTTTTGTTGCCGCGACATTCGGGAGTGGCAAAAACGTTCACTGACGTTACCGACCCCTCGATTTGTCGTCATACAACCCCCCCCCCTCCACTTCTAATTAAGTATATGTTTTGACGTTTTGACACGGACACACTTTGGAAAATCAATTTCTAGTAACACGGCGAACCCCTGCGGCGTGCGACCGGCGTCACGTTGACCTGCCGGCAAGCCGGTAAGCCGACGGACGACAAGCCTAACCGCGTCCGAGAGTGAAGGGCCGAAAACGTTATTTACTTGAGCACGTGCGAAAAACCGAGCAACGGTGGGTAACGGATTTCCTCGAATAGTCCAACGTGGGCGTTTAACGGCCGCCGTCGATCGCGGCCGTGTTATCGCGACGCGACGTTTCGTTTTTCCAGTACATTACGACGCCCGTAAATGTTGTACGATAATAATTTTTTGTTTTAGTCACCGTAATTGAATTACGTTACAAATACCGCAATTAATAAAATATAATACCGTTTCGGGCGTACCCGACGACAACGGGTGTGTAAATATCGCATAGGTATAAATATAATAATAATAATATTTATGATAGCCGGTACTCACGCCTGAATGCTCCTGGAGAGCGGCCACCGGTCCATTGTGGATTGGTAGCGCATGTTTTCGATTTGTTTCTTGAGCGCGTCTCGGTCCATCGCTGAAAGCACACTGGGGTCCATGACTTGGTCGCCGCCGCCGTTGCCACCGGCGCCCGCGTTTGCCGCCGGTACCGCTTGTCGCCTGCTGCCGCCGCCGCCCGCCGCGCTCCGTCCACAGCTACTGAAAACGCATGCGTGCACACGGTAAATGTTACGTCACTTCGTCCCGCCCCCGCTTCTTCGCGGCCCCGTTAGGGTCGGTCCTGGGCCTCCACGCGACCGGCGGCCACAGTGCCACAGCATGCCATATCGATTATTATCAAAAACGCGCGCCGCCGCCGCACTTCCATACCGCGTGCGTACGCTGCACAGTGACACATACTCCATATAGGCTCCTCCATCCTATCACTTACACTGATAACTCTGACCGCTGCTCTTGCACCCGCATCGGCGCAACATTACAATAATATTGTCATATGTACGTTGCGTAAGCTTTATTTATTTGTTATTATTATCATACCGTATAATAATAACAACAATACAGTTATAGATTGATATTTTATACTTAGGCCGAAACCGTGTACAATAACCATTATTATGATTGTATTGTATTGTGGTGTACGCATGCAGGACAAATACGGCCATAACGTTTGTGTTCGAAAGATTCGACTTTATTTGATGACGCTGTAGCGTATGTATGTATGGAAAATATGAAAAAATGTAAAAATAGAAATAATCGAGATTTGGGTAAAAAAGGTTGTATTACTCTATCCAGAAAAATAAATCCGAAAGGAATACCGGGAAATGTTTGTGTCAAAGCAGTTCTCGAACTCTTTGACGTTAGTTGTAATAATTTCGCAGAAAGAATTCCATTTGTATGTATTTTCATTTTATTCTGTTCAGATATAATCGTGATTTATAAAGGAAAATAGAAATTCTAAATCGTTTGGAAAATTAAGTAATCGTTTTCAGCCAACACGAGAAAATTGAATTCCCGTCAGTTCAAAACGTGTAGCTACTATATTTTCACAATACATATTTTGTCGAAGCCGCACAATGCAGTTAGTGAACGGTAATAATTGACCGGTCGTCGCGTCGTTTATTTAAACGAAATTGAAAAATATTTTCACGCACATTGAATCCAAAAGACGAAAAAAAGTTCTAAGCTGTTCAAATTTCAATAAGAATAAAGTAACAGGAGTACAAAAATGATCGTTAAAATAATAATATTTTAAATAAAAATCAAATTATTTTATTCTCCGGTTAGGTTTATTAATCGTATTAAAAATTGGTTTATCGCGAATGAATATTCTATTTTAACTAAATGTAAATTCATTAGAAATCAAACGACGAATATAAAGTATTTATTTAAATATTTAATATAAGCTGCAAAGCTGATTACAAATATACATTTATCCTATTAGCGTGTAATATATTTCGAATATTATTTTTTTGATTTAGGTATGCAAAATTATTATGGTAAACTAACTACAAATAATATTTTCTAAAAGCTTTTTATTTCGTTGTTTCGAATCAATGTGATGTTAAAATCAGTCAACATGATAATACAATTATTTTCTCTTGGCTGAGCTCAATATTTGAAATTATATGTTCCCATAAATTGCAGAACAATAATAGTACCTTCTGCGTATAAAATTTAATACTTGAATTATTCGCGACGGTTTCGTATGTTATAACTGTATTTGTTTTATAAATGAACTTTTATAAGCTGAACTCGCCCGCGGGCCAAGAGACATTTATTAAAATGAGACCATTTTCTAAGTAATAAATATAATACACGTATTACATTAAGACATTCGTATTGTACAATCGTGCTTAAGCTGTGACTACCGCAAAGCCTTGGTTTATTATGAATATCCTTAGCAATACTGTGGACTTCAAGAAGTAAAAACGCAGACAATTCCATTGGCCGCCGGCAATCTTGTACCTTATTCGGTATTTGCATTCTATAAAATAATTTTCAGCTACAATCCGTGCGCTCTTGCTGAAAATGTTTTGACAATATTTGTATAATTTGGTTGCTCCGAGAAATGTACTGTTTGCGTTTCGCGTTTGGGAAAATAAATTAGAAACGTTTTGTCAACATGCGCTATTTGTACAAATAAGACGTTCGAGATAAAGGACAAAAAAATAAGGAAAACCTAACTCGATGGCGTATTGTGCATACATTTTATTTTTTATTTACTTTCGTTTCGATAAAGCAACGTCAATAGGACGTCAGGTCGGAACTTAAGATTACCCCAAGGATTTGAGATTTAAACGTGAAAGTTTGGAAGACATCTTTTTGAAATTGTTTTTTTTACCAGTTATCCGTATTTGTATCCAATATTAAATATCATGTATAGAACGGTGGACATTCATTTAAGGCCACCGCGGACGTTTTTAACTTTTAAGCTGATTTACGGTTGATTTGGTACCTGTATAATATGGGGATCAAGACTTTGACATTGCAATACCATTGTCTCGCGAAAACCGTTCCTATATAGATAATAGGATTACCCTAAATTCCTTCTACGGAAATGTCAACGGTGACATACTTAACGTTGACATCAGTGTTTAGCTATACATATTTTATAATAATCCTCTTAAAAGCAATATCTATAACATATTGGACGTCGTCTATTCATAGTGTAAACTCTATTCTTTAACTACAAAATATATTAGAATTAATTAAGTATATTCAAATAATATTTACAGGAATTTTAACAAAAATCGCACAACCTATATCATGTACATTGAGCCTCGAGGTATAAAATATTTTTACCTGTCATTATAAACAAATTTCCAAAGAATAATTTAAAATTATTATTTTTATATTATTTATATTCACTACAATTATTGTTATTTCAGTTGCCTACAACAGGTACTTTAATACAAATGTTTTTTATATTAAAATTCGTTTTTTTTTATTAGGGGGATTTGTGTATTACTTTATTAGAAAAAAGAGTATGGTAAAGGGTAAAATATTATTTAAATAAATGATTTAGTATAGTGAATAGGTTGAATGTAATTTAAAGTAATCATTATAATGTATAATTAGTATGAACTGTTTAATAACAATATATTATAAAAAGTGTTTGATAATAAAAATAACAAAATACATAAATTATAAATAGTATTAACGGAATGCTTGTTCAACGTCAAATTTATACATATAACAAGTTAGTTAACTATGTAAAAATTTCTTAATACAAATCGACCGTTTACAAATCATAAAATATTATTTTATTATAAGTGAGCAGTAGTAATTTTACAGAGTATAAAATTTAATTTTGTTAAAACAATATTTTATCTACTCACTTTTTATTTTCCAAAATAATACAAAAGTTATCACCGAGTTTTACAAAATTTTGTAAAATGCTTATTTTTATTAAAGTACACACATACACTCAATAATACAAACCTTTAACTAAATTAATTGAATTTTGGCAGGGTTTTTTTAAATTTATTTAGGTATAACATTCAAGTATTTGGATTTTAATGGAATTTTCCATAAAAACGGTAGGTGTATTTTGTATGGGAGAATTCATATGCAATTTAAGAGAGACACTTTACGGAGAGTGCACAGCATAATATTGAACGGTAAACAATAATTATATTATTAACTGATTTCGGTCCGTGTTGGTTTAAGAGAACTTTCGACTACCTCAAACACTGGCTTAACTCTAACGCTGTTTGAAAACCAATTATAATATTTACAAACTACACGCTTACTCGTGTTTGCAAGTAAATTATTCGATATTGGTGTTTTCAATTTTCCGAACAGCAAAACCTTTATAGCCGGAAAGAAGGTAAGACGCGCCTTGGCCGGAACGATTTAGCATCGATGCGGAGCTGAAGAGGCGTTTCGCATGCCAATATAAGAAAATAATTATAATACTAATAATATTCGCGCAATTTTTTTTTTCATAGTAATATTTATACTTACAATTAGCTAGTTAGAAGAAAGGTTGGCGTGGTAGTCGCTGTAATATACCACAGTAATGTTTTTTTCCTCGAGTCACGACGCAAAGACTTATGTGCAGCAAACGGACTAAACCGTACGCTATGACGACAGGCAATGAGTATTGAGTAGTATCAAATGCAGTATTTTTCAATAATAGTATTATGACGATTTAACGTCGCGCGACTCGAAATCCAATTAAAAATGATTATATGCCCACCGCACTACCAGCCAATGGTAAGTATATGTATAATAAAACATTGGCACACGGGGTCGACGTTGGAAAACGTATAAAAGAAACAATACAGGCCGACCGACTGGCGGTCGATAGCTAGTCACACGACTTTAAATACACAGTTTGGAATATCGAATATTGACGAGGGAAGCCCTACCCTATTGACATCGGTTTAAACATACTACACATATTTATATATAATATATATATATATATACATTTATTTACATTTAATAAGCAATACGGTTAGTTTTTTTTTTTTTGTTCGAACGCAGCTGCGTTGCCGAACTGTATTACATACATTTATTATGCTGCGGTTTTTTTCATTAGCTACAAATTTTAACGACTACACGCAAGTGGGGGTTGTTTTTTTTTTTTAATTTTTGCTGTCTACCGTGATTTTATTAATGGCAAATACAATTCGCGTTAATGAACCGCAAGCAGTTCGACTGTATTTATAATGGCCAATCTAATTGCCGTTATTGGATTTTTTCCCCCTCGCCGAACCGCCGAGCTCCGATTAAAGACCAAAGAAAGAACCACGACGCTGGTGGGTTAAGCGCTTAAAACGAAAATCCGTTCGCCAGAAAGTGTTTCGCCGCCACGGTGTGTTTTGCATGATAAAATCAGCGTACAAAGAACCCAGCGAACAATACGTCCTTCGTTCGAGTTTGCTCTGAACGTCTTAAAGTGCTCGACAAATGTCGGAGAACAAAACAAAACTTCACGCTCGTATGAAGACCGACGACGGCGATGATAATCGAAACACAAAATTCGACATTCTGTTTGGAATTCGTCGAACAATAATAAAACAAAGGAAAATTATACGGCTTTATGTCGCTTCGTTGAAAAGTTTTCAGATAAATTTCAATTATACATTTACTAATGCTCCACCGGTTATACTATTTGTGTATGAATGCGGGATGTAAGAAGTGAATGTGTTCGCGCCTTTGTATTGTGTGTTTTGAATTAAAACTTTACCACGATTTCCCCTGAGGATTCAGACTTTTGCCTGAAGAAACTTTTTTTTTTTACTTTTCTTTTTGTTCGTCCACGCATTACAAACACGTCTACAATAGTAGCTGTTAGGTAAGGCGAAGTAGGAGTAGATACATTATAAAACGTACTGAAATTCAACATAACAATCACGTTGTCACCACGCACGGTTGGTAACACAGCATCTAAAAGTTGTAAAAAGAACTAGGTTTAAAAAAAAATACTCCACAAATAATTGTAAAAATAAAAATAACACAAAATTATGATTTTGTTACAACTTTAAGAGGACGTCACACACCCGTGTTTTTTTTACCAAAAACCCGCCTTGCGCGGATTAATTTTACAAAGGCTATAATCAAAACTAAGAAACCAAATTTTTACATAATGTAGACAACAACGTTGTCTGTGTTCTATCATCGTCCTTTTTCTAAATATTTCAACCAGTTAATGAATAATTATTTAATTAAGAAAGGACTTTTTTAAAAATGATATAGCATTGGTTGTGTTAGGTATATCGAAAAAATACGGATGATGGAACACAGATAATTTTGTCATAAATAATATGTATAAATTTCTTTCTTTAACTATATATGGAGCCACTATTTTGATTGTGAATATTATACCATCAGGCAAAACTATATAAGAATTTGGGTTAACATATTTTTGTTAGTAATATTTTTAGTAATTTTACACAAGTAGTTACTCAAACTTTCATTAAAAGTAACCACGTTAAACGCTATTACAAAGTTGCCTTATTTTGCAAGTAATTGTCGCAACTTTTTATTCACAATGTCAACATAATAGGTAGCTCCATTGGGTGCCCTCCTACATCATGACATATTCATGTTGTGTTAAAATTCACCATTCTCATTATTACTTGTGCATATTTGTAGAGTTGTAAATTATTTATTTAATAATAAAAAAAACGTTAACATACGTTGTATTTAACTATAAAACAAGTCCAATATGAAGTAGTCATGAAGTCATCATCTTTAAAAACCTAACTTTATGTACTTTGAGTCTCATTACTCTCCGTTCAATACTTACTCTATTCAATTTCCCTCAGGCCTCGTCTAAATTATTTTCTTATATTGAGCACCCTCTGAATCATTTTGTATCAAGAGCGCCTGCCTCTATGCGCTTGATGCTCTGACCTACTAATGAAGTTCGTCTATACTTATTTGTTGGTGTAGAAGAATGTTGCAATTGGAAAACTTTATAATACAAAAATCCTATTTACTTATAAAGAAATATTAAATGGGACGCCCGACAAACTCTTTTAAAATAGTAAAGAATAGAAAACAACAGACATGTTAAACACTTCGAGCGTTCGGAAATATAATTTGGCGAAACGACAGAAAGGATTAAACTTTATGCGTGAACTTAATTAACGGTAATTGCTTGAGAGTAATATTCTGACATTTTCTAAAATAATTTGTGAGACGGCACTCTGGTTATGCAATTTTGATACACGCCATGTTCCAGGGTTCTGCTAAATAACAAACGTCAGAAGTGGTTTTAGTATTGTGATTTTAATTCACAGTGATGGTTTAATATTATAATGTATATTAAACAAACTTCATTTACCTTATAAGTACGTTATGCGTTAAAGCTATTTCTGTTGGTATTTATAGCAGAGAGGTTAATACATTATTTCTCAGAACAATGGCTAAGTGTTCATAAATTTCATTAATTCATAAACCTAAGTTGATTGCAAACATTTTATAATTATGTTTTCCTTAAAGTAGTACATAAATAAAATCCTGATGTGACTGCTTTGGCATAATTTAAACATATTTAACCTATTTTTTTTAAACAATTTTAAATAAATTATATTGAAATTCACAAAATAACAATATAGTTCAAAGATTATTTTTAGGATTTGTTATGAGATAAATATAGAAGTTTGTTACAACTCAAATAAAAACATAGATTAATAATTATTTCATTAATTATATTATTTTGTATGAGGTAATCGTTATTTAATAATGAAACATTTACAAAACTATGTACATATAATATACAGAAACCTACGGGTAGCGATACTTTCTCAGACTATGAGTGTTAATCAGTTGTGTACACCTACATTTCACATGAGAGTTGGGAATTAGTTCAGAGCCGTAATAAAAGGGAAGATAACATTGCCTGAACCCAACCATAACATTTAAAAGGTAATTAAAAGTTACAGAACTTTAGATCTTAGACGCAATAACTTTAAGGCATCGCCTGAACGGAGTACTTTTATAACCGTAGTCCGTAAAGTTTTATAACTGGAATTACAATCCCAATTCCCATTACAATATTTATCAGATATAATAGGGAGTTGCGCCTGTAGCAAGTAAATGAAAGGAAACAGCTTGAGATGGCTTGGGCATGTTAAAACTTAAAATAACAGAGGATATGAAATAGTATAACAGACGAGACTTAAGAGAGATTATTCCAAAGGAATTTAAAGATAGATGTAGATCGTAGTGGAAAACGAAGAAACACAAAGGTGCATAAAGAGAAAAAAGAAATGGACAAAGAGATGCAAAAAAGATTGGCCGATCTTATTTGTATAGGATAAGGAGAGGAAGATTAAGAACGACCGATAAGAAAATATTTTTGTAATTTTTCTATTCTGTAACAATCATTGATGGTACTGGGTGGTTGACTATTATTTTCTGTACAAAAGACATGAGGCATTTATTCCCCTTATCCTCTCTCGTGTGTACGCCCGTGGTAACACTACTTCTCATTAGTTTACCATTGGTCCAAAATGCGGGTTAAAATTACAAAAATAATTTGTTTTATTTACTTAAATAAAAATGTTACTAAAATATTGTGAAGTGCTTTTCCAAACATAAGTTATTAACATTGTTATCTGTGTTATATTGGGGTGACCAGTCAAAATTAATCTAGAAAACTTTTCCCTGGCGGATAGTAATTGTTTTTCAGCAGTACTATACATATATAATATTTATTATTCTTTGAGCTAATTATAAAATTTGTGGGGTAGTAAAAAACGAGTTGTTCATTAAGTAAGTTTTCATGTAGCCAAAAACAAACGCTGAAATAACATAATATTCGTTATAGTAGTCATTTATTACTTGCAAACCGTAACTTAAATTCAAAACGGTATTAATGGAAACCAGAATAAATTTTAATAACGCTTTCATTTCCTATGGAAAATTAAGGATCCCCTTTAATGTACTTGAAACTTTCAGCTAATTTTGCATAGCTAAATTATATGCAAATGGCTTCAATTGGGCGGGCTATATTAAACCCACTGTTATACATAATGAAATTAGGCCCCGTTGGGCCCTTAATTCTAAAAAGGGTTATCGCTATTTTCCAGTTAAACGAATTATGTATTATCTAAATCTGAATGTTAAGTCTAAATGTCTATTTCCAATAGCGCAGCATGTCAAGTACACTATGCAGGAAATTTCGAAATAATACGTTAAATTTTAAGAAAATTGTATAATAATATTATTTGAATGTTTTCTAAGTTGAATGTTGTGTATCTGGTAAATGGACAGTTTTTCTACTTTCTTACGCAGTATAGGGATTTGTTTATAATATTGATTAATTTTTTATGCGTGATTTTAACTGACTTAGCTGGTGATGGTGATGTCTAATTATACAGAATACTAGAGGTTAATGGACTATAAACAAAATCGTATTTGTATTATTATGTATACAATTTATTTTGTAAAACTAGGAGGGGGGGGTCAAGTTGCTCAAAGTTGTAAAATGTTGTATAAGCAATACAAAATGTTACCAATTGTTTAGTTGAGGCCGAGCTTTCTTCTGTTTCAAATCAATAATATGAATGAACTCGACTTTATATCAAACAATATATGAAAATATATATATATGATAAACGAAACTTATTGTTAGAAAAAAATATAGATACCGATCCGCGAACAGTATAAAATAAATCATCTTCTTTCATATAAAAATGTAATTACCAAAAAATAGATCCTGGTCGACCTTTTTGTCTTTGAATAATTAAAAGCTGCTTGTCTAAATCTATTTTTATCATATCTAAGTCATCTCAGTGAGCAATATCAAAATGGTTATCAAACCTATTGGCAAATTAGTTTTATTATTTGTATTTGGACTTCAGTTCTCTTGAATGCATTTTTTGCAATTATCCCCACTCTTAGATACATAGATTATAATTTTCGAACACAATTCCGAGTTTCTCTCGTTGGAATACGCGCTTTTTGTCAAAATATTAATATCTCATCAAGGACTAAACAAGTGTTATTACAAAAACTCAGTTTAATATCACGTAAATAAAATGTTTTATACGAAAGATGATTTATTTTATACTGTTCCTGGAACGATTTCTATATTTTTTTCCCTAACAATAAGTTTCGTTTTTCTTAATATATTTTCTTAGCGATCAATAAGTAAAAAATGGCTGATCTTATGAAATGTTTTCTTATAACCTATTTTGTAGACAATTTAATTTTATATAAAATATATAAAACACGTTCTACCCGTTGTTCAATCGTTTATTAAATATATTTAAATAACCGTAGAAAACCAGTTTTTCCAAATAAATGAAAATAGTTATGTTTTATTTTTTTCTTGGATAATAATGCATTTTTGAAAAAAATGTTTAAAACATTGTTTATAGACAATTTGATGATTTATCATAAGGGTTATGTGACATTTACGCTGAATGCAATAGTTTTTTACTTAAGCTCAAAAAACCATAAAACTACCGTATATGGCCATTTTCAACTCCCTTGAGGCACTTGAAGGGGATGAGTTTTCAGAACCTAATTCTACCTAAATTATTTTTTTAAAGTAATGAACAAAATGGCGTGATAGCCCATTGAAATTTTCAAAGTTCATAAATAAGAACCACCCTAATATATATATATATATTATGTATATATATGTATGTATATTTTATTTAACGGTAAAAACCGTTATAATGCATTGCGGAATTTAGACACTAAACGTTTTTAATTTTTCTGCTATAAATATTGCACATTATCCATTCCTCGAAATAATCCATTATTTAGGCAAACCTCCAACGAGGACGTTAGAAATTATACACAAGTATATGATAAGCTGTAGTACCGCCAAATAGTCCAAACCGAAAATTTGAGAAATCACAGTTTTATAATAGTCGTTAATGAATTGTATACAAAAAGAGACGTTTATCGTCAAATACCTACTTGATAAAAAAAAATACCTAGTTTTATTATGATTATTTTTATGACACATTGTGAAACCCTCAATATTTTTCTTTGTTCTTTAACTTTACCCTATTTGATATAACCAGAAATCATATTATAATATGCATACCGAACTTTTAAATATTATTAAAAATGTTTTATAAACGTTATCAAGGCTTTTAACCGAAATTATATAATTTTTGTATCGAGTTTACTTTAAGTCATATTGATAACTATGTATGTAATTTCTAACCCATAATTTGTAAAAAAATATTTTTCAACAATTAATTATATCTTTATAAATACTATAAATTATATTTCCAAATTGTTGACTACATTTTTATATTATTTCTTATTTTTGTTTTATTTTAAATAAGTAATTTTAGTCATTTTAAACATTTCTAACTTCTCTCGTTTGTACTATAATTCTGTAGTAAAATACAAAATAATTAACTGTAATAATAAAAAATATTAATAATATGTTGTATTTATTAATATATAACTGATAGTTGAAAAAACATAACATAAAAAGTTAATTTAACATATTTTAAAATTTGGTAATAATAACATAACAAAATTTGCTTTTTTATTTATACCTTTGTTGTTGATTTTACATTTTTAATTCTATTTTTTTTTTTAAGTACATAATGAGGTATTTTGGTAAGTAATTTTAGGACCAGTTTAATACTAAAATCTATTTTTTGGGCACAGAAATGTACTATATTCTTAGAACTTAGGATAGATTAAAACATTTCATAACGTGTTACAATAATAAAACGCTTTATAAGTATAAAACTATTAACTCGTTAATGTCCGGTTAATTCTTAGTTTTTACTTTATTGCTTTATAAAAATAAGTTTTATTAGTAAAAAAACTTAAAACCTAAATTAAAATGTCAAATTTTATTTATATTTTTAATAATAAGTACTTTATAAGCCTCTCCCGGGTTCCACGTTTATTGTAAGGTTTTATAGCTCAAAGCAACTGTTCTAATACTAACTTTTCGTTAATGGCTTAAAAAATGTTTGATTTCTAGTGTTTAGAAGACCGTTAACAGGCAATTTTGTATTTTGGATATTGTTTAGTTTTAGGTATATTGGGTTATTTGGGTTCAAATCCCTGATAATGTATATTACAGTAACATAATAGTTTTCAATAATATACAAGATAAGCTGTCCCGACCCGGCGTTGCCCGTATATTAGAATAGACACACAATCAGCTGATTGAATCACTGTACCCCAGTGGTATGGAAAACCATAGAGATGTGTTGATAACTATTGATACTATTGATAGTCATTTTAATTAATTACTTATTAAAAACATGTTCTATCGGATCAAATTGTGAATTTAAACCTTTCTCGAAGTAACTTAATCGCACACACAAAATTTCATAAAAATCTGTCCAGCCGTTTAGAAGGAGTTTGCATACTTACACACGCACAGAAGAAATATATATATATATATAAAGATATATTTAAATAACAGATGCAAATAATATATTTAACAACGATAATAGTGATAAAATGTTTAAATAACAGACAATGTCGCACTCATTACATAATAATTTAAAAATTACGTTCTAACATTAAATATTTGTTTAATAAATATATCTATATGTAACAACTACGTCCAGTATAGTCAGTACATGCGTATATTTATTGTTCAATTTAGAGAACCAACAGACAAATAATATAACAAAAATGGAAGATCATTGAGTTACAATATTATACTTGAGCCAAATAATAATAATAATAAATAGTTATATAGACGAAACGAACCAACAGTTACCTTAAAACATAGACTCCCAATTAAACTGATTGCGTTTTATACAAAAAAAATTCTCTTAAATACTAAAATATTGCTTGGTCCACCGCATCATATTATGTCAACGGTGTTTGGTTTTCTTAAAATTTCGTAAAGCATTTATATGACTGTTTGAAAAAGACAATAATTATAAAACACTAACAACATTTTTGGATAACAAATAATCTAGACATGATTGTCTCATAATCTAAAACCTCTTAAATGCGGTTACTATACCAAAGGCGTTAAAAATAATACCTAAATTAATTTCATGATGTGAGAATCAATAATATTGAGGATTAACTTGTGTCTTGGAAGAGCGTGAAAACTGTCCAATAATAAATAATAATTACTGTTATTGGTTAAGAGTTACCATTTACTGAATAAGTAAACTATAAGTTGTAGTATACGAGTTGTGGAGTACCTTTTTTATGATCTATAACAATAGGTACTTACAACATTTGGTAGGTATCTTGATATAATTGTTAATACTAGTGGGTAACATGAGAATAATAAAAAGTACAACATTGAACAAGATCAACATAAATAAATAATTACAACACTAAATAAACATAACACATCACAATTATTGTTTTAAAACGATCAACTTAATTTCGTTCTGACCAAATTACGTCGTATATAATATTATACACCTATACGGTCTAATAAATTAATCTAATGATTTCATGTTTGGTCATCTTATAATGTATTTTTCTGACCACTGACAAAGTCAATAACAATATATTATTTTAACGGTAAATTTAAAAATAAATTTAAGAAAGATATTTAGCACTTAATAAACAGAAAAACAACGATTAAACTATCATCAATTAATTTTAAATTGAAATAGGAAAATGTTTTAGTACTAAGAAAAAACAATTAACATTAAAAACGAATTAAAATTAACTATTTAAAAAAAAATCGACGAAAAATTATTTTAATTATGAACACCGAAGCTAGAGTACATAGAGTAAGTCGATGGTGGTAGTTGCAGTTATATTAAAATATACTGTTGCAAATTAACATCATAATTACATACAACAGAGTATTATCGCATTCGATAGTTGCTCAGGTACAGGTAACAATATCTATCGTAATTGTATCACAAGATTTATTGAGGAATAAATTGTTCTATCTATCATATAGAACAATTCAGTCAGAATCAATCAGATAGAATCCGTGTAGTCTCTGCTACTTTCAATTTAGTTATGTTGTATTCTATAATATCCTTCTCTTTATAGTATTGTGTTTTTATCTATTATTTATTTATGATCTGATGCTTTCTCGATCGGTTTCCAGGTGTCCTTTACCCCACAAAATACGGTTCTTTGTGTAAGGAATAAGGCCGACCAGTATGCCCGACACGAGTATCCACAGACCAGCCAAGTAGAATGAAAAATCCCAAACTCCGGTCACGTCCGAAACCCATCCTGCATGTAAAATAATAGTTTAAGTCAATTTTAGATTATATAATATGATGTTAACATAAATAATGGTTGGAAACGAGTTTACCTGCTAACGGTGGACCTAGGAGGTTGCCGATTCCTTGGCACAGCAACATCAGTCCGTAGGCTGTTGTAAACCTATCCAACGGTATGAGTTCGCCGAGGATGGCCGGAGTGAACGAAAAGTTGGAAGCGAAGAACAGGCCAAATATGCCACCAATGACTATGAGTGACCAGAAACTCTTGATAAACAATGGCATAATAGCACAGCAAACTCCACAACCGACCAAACATATAGCGTACACTTTGGTCACGTTCATCCATGGATAGTCTCCGGCCCAACCAAGCAAAATCTAAAAATATACAATAACCATTACACCACTTTACATTACTTTACAGTCAAATCTAAGTAGTCGATGGCCTTTAAATCATTTGTTTGATTTAAAACAGTGCCGAGAAATTAACATTTAAATACAAACCATCCCAACGGTGTTCGTAGCTCCAATAGTGCTGATAATTGTGGATGCTTGAGTATCAGACAATCCTTTGGCCATGACGAAATCGGTAAGATAAAAGTAGGGCACGATGAACCATGTGAAGAGAAGTATGGTGGACAAAGAAAGTAACAGGAAATGAAGTTCCAAAAACATGCTGAAGTCCAGGATCCCACTCAATAGCTCTTTTACTTCGGCGTACCATTCCTACGTAATAAGAAATATCGTATGAGTGGATACTGGATATTATTATATTTTGTACAAATCGTAGGTAATATTTAATAATATAATGGATTTATTGAGAAGAGGTATTTTAGGAATAAGCCCAGTAATGAATGAGTAAATAAGAAAGAATAGATTACATTGTTTCACTCATTATAAAAGAACGATTGTTGAAGGTAATTGTATTTATAGTAGTGTTTATAGTGGTTGCTGAGAATACGAACCGAATCTCATCCTCGCCTGATAAATAATAAATCAATTATTGTTTAAAATAAATTATTAAAAAATTATATTGTGTTGGTGTTAAAGATATGCACAATAAATATACCGCGATAAAAGGTTAACATTATTGCAATGTAAATATTGCCGTGTTGCATTCGTTTTCATATTGTAATGTACACAGCATTATGTAGGTATACCCTACTTGAATAGGTGTGCGGTTTAAGATTTATTGCCCTTAGATTTAAAAGCACTGAAGTTATTCGAGACACTCTATTATGCGGTATTTTTTAACTACAATTTGAATTATTCATAAATATCTGAAATGTAGCAGTTTTGAGACTGAATACTGAATATATATGCACTTTTTCTTCTTTTGGCCATTAAATTTCTTTTTCATACGTCTAATTAGTTTATATGTGTACAAAATGCAATAATGATAAAACTCAAAAATATGTGTAACCGGTCAGAATTTTTAACTTTGTTGTGGAATTGAAAAATTATTGATTTTACAAGAATAGTTTTTTTTTTTTTTTACATCAACATGAAGTGAACTATAGTTTTTAGGGAATTGCTAAGCGCTTAACGCTAAACAATCGGCTCGTCACTCGTTGCATTATATTATTATAATATACATGGCCTTTCTCTGCGTTTCGTATTACCGCAATAATGGCGTGCCAAGATTTACAGAAATTGCACGTTAATACAAATAGCCGGTGAACAAACAATTCTCACAAACCTAATTCCCTATTGTTACAATAAAACAAAAATATTTTTTATAAAGCCAGACAGATAGAGCCGCTAAGCTCCATCTGGGTTGGCGTCCAATGTTAATGTTTTCAGCCAATGAAAGATTGTATTCGGTTGACAAACAAGACGGTTCGCGTAAGTCCACGTCAAACAATGACATGCCGTTTGTCATGTTCAGTTATTATTTTTTGTTTATTGTATTATTTCTCTTGTCCCATGTGTTCGCATAAAAGTTTAAAACGGCAGAGGAATCGCTGAGCAGAGAGCGGTTGCGCGCGCGGTGGCGGTGGCTATCGATCGCTAGTATAAGCTTTTCACCCGACTCAACATGCCAAAAAACCCTACACAGGGTACGCCAAAACCACTGTGTATCGATGCATAAAACGTACCTGATATTGTTTTATACTGCCATGCCGTTTCGGTGGCGTATTAGAAATTCCGCCGCAAAACTATGCACTTATCTAAATTTTATTTATTAAGAAATACCAGCGCGAAAATATTTGTCCACGTGCCACTTGGACGTAGACGTTTCTATTTTTCATAACCTTTTTATTAATTCTCATTATCATAATATAAAAGCGCAAGATTCGAAACGCACGCGATTTAGATAGGTGCATTAGTATTAAGCGAGAACCCGCATGAGTTAATATAATAGTAAACATTTTTTTCAGTTATAAATGTTTTTCGACGGGGCTGACGGGCTTATGGTCGAAATGACTAATAACATTACACAAATAAACGAAGAAAAATTGCTTAAATTCCGGGAGGATATGACACTATAATATAAAGTGCACATCGTGTTGTAAAGTATAAAGCAATCCTTGACTCCCAATTCATTAACGGCGACAAATCGACCATCGTCCCACTGCAATGATAATTTTGTAACCGATAGTAATATGTAATATGATAACACCACATAAAAGAATTATTTTCAAATGGAAATTAATATTAAGTAAACACAACACAGCTGAGGAATGAGGATATAGCACTAATGGTTTTACAACCGTCTTTCTATATATATCTACTCATTTTTACCCGACCGCGAAAAAGAGTTTTATTATATTTTTTTTATAGCTAACTTTATATAATAATAAGATCAGAGTAGCTGGTTCATTAAATTATAAACACGAGCTAACACAGCAATCTACGATGAATCAATGACCCTGCAGTGTGGAGATCATTGCAATATATTGATCTATGTAAATGAATACGTTTTTTGAACAATATTTACAAATTTTAAATACAGTCAGACCCAGTCTTAATGGACATTAGAAAGGTCGATATTTTCAGGAAATCCTGCTCTCAATATGGTTTCGTCTCCCTAGAAAGCTGTACCGGCATGACCTATTTGCAAAACATAGTGATGGGAATCAAAATATGGCCAACACATCAGACTCAGAACGGTTGAATAGAATAATTTTGTTATATTAACTAGTACACAATACGGAGCACCGGCCACATTGTCCTAACTCCTAACAGGGTTGGGATATTAATTGCCAGACAAAAGTCACTTCCTCCAAATCGGTGGATATGACTTCCAGTGGTGATGCCTATAGAAATTGTTTTAAAAAATATATTACAACGGTTCGTATTGTAACTAGTACTACCCAAAAATTATTTAATATTGTTTCACGTAAGTTAATCGTTAGTTAAAAAAAAAACGTTGAGGTCCGCCTCATGATGGACTTAAATACAAAACGGTCTAAAATTGGGTTGTAATTGTAATTGTAATTCGTATTACTTAATATTTTTTCGCCGAAGCCATATGCATTAAAAAAAAAATCGTTTAGGTTTGAAATACATATTTTTTGGCTAAATAAATCTCTACAAAAAAAATGCATAATTTAATAATTAAATACATGTTTGTATTTATTACTAAGTTTTGTTTATCACTACATTATCGATTATTATAGTTAATAGTGGCCTTTAAATACCAATTGAGTAGTGCCGGTGCTATCGTCACACTGCAGTGTATAGCTCTTAAGTTTTGACATGCTAAGCTGCCGTCAAAACGCTATCAACGACGTCAACAGCAATAGTAAATAAAATCCGGAACGATCGAGGGAGAAAATCACAAACAACGACTTATCCGATTTGGCCGAAATACTGATAAATCGGCATTAGTGACAGTTGGCGCGGACCTTTATGGAATTGAATTGAGCTTTCGCCATTAGACCGCTGTAATAGTCAACACGCTACTAATGCCATATTCAATAACAAAAACAATAATACACTGAAAACGAAAATAACATTTTTCTAAAAGCTTCGGTGTAATTTTTCAATGTATTCGATGATCGAGTTTTCTTGCACGCGACAAAAAAAAAATACATGTTTTCAGATAAACGGCGATCAAACGGTAGATTTCCTGTGCGTGTAACGAAAACTTAATTTGACAATAACACAAATAACGGATCGCACAATTTACTCTGTTAAACTATGGAGTCTGACAAGCTTATTTCGCAATACCAATGGAATTAAGCCACTTGTGCAAGAAATACATTAGAGATTATTCCAACAGATGTGCTGTATAGAATTCGCATTGACGGTGTTTTGATTCGAAATAGCTTTTCTGACGCTTTACATATTATTATTATGATTCCGTACTGTTACTGGGCCGCTATTGACGGTGTGCGTGAATGAAGCCTAGTAACACATTAATCTTTATCTAACACAGCCGCCTGACAAGGCCAATATTTCCAGTGTGCGACCCTCTCATACGCTCTGCCTCTCATCACCTTGATTTTTATTCAAGTCGGCTATCCGGACAACCAAACGTCATAAGTAAACAATATAACCACATCGGGCGTGTCGACCGATTTCAATGATATGAACTGCAGACAGCCGACACACGGAGAAGAGCACATCGTTTTGACTGTCTTGAGTAAAGATCGTGTTTGTTCGATTCTCCCCAGTGGGATTGTCCCGTTCAACAGCCCAAACACATATTTTACTCTTACTTTAAGAGTTCTATGGTGCACATGATATGTGTGCACATTTTAAGTCTTAATAGCTAACATGCTACAATAATAATAATTTCCAGTAGCTCGTGCAAGGACACTGGTGTCGTTAGCTCAGTAAGTAAGTGTAAAAACCCATCTTGACGAAGCTTTTTTAAGCTTTAGCCTTTACTACTTACTCACGTGTTGCACGTGCGTTATACGCTGCTTTGTTATATTTTCCCCGTACTATTAATATGCATATCAGACGTGTAAGTGAACCTATCAGCAAAATCGACGTTTGACCGACCGGTGTGCAAGTCAGACGTGCATGCGTGGAACGTGTATATTTTGCAACTTGTCATTAAAAGCCGTTCTCTGATGTCACATAGATCTCAGGCTTTTACCCCCCTAGATAAAGGTGATTTTAGCTTTTGAATTCGACATGCTGGAGCATACGTTTGTCACCGTACACGGCGAGTAAACGGCCAGCGCTTACCTTTTTCAACGATTTTGGCTGAAAATAAGATCTTTTCCGCCTAACCCGGCGCACGTTAATTTCACGTTTATTCGACACGTGATTAATTACTTTGGCATAACTATACCTGCGTAAAATCTGTAAAAACGGTAGTAGGTATACAGTAATTGTGTTTTTTTTATTTCATCGACTCTGTATCCAAATGGTACGGTTTGTACGTCATAAAAAAAACAATACAACAATACAGAAAGCCAGCAGATTAAGTTAAAACGGCTGACCTTCGGCGATTATGAGATACATACCGAGTTTGGTTCGCTGGCGACCGTCAACGTTGAATTGTTATAAATGTCCGGGCACGAAGACGCTTTTTTGGAATTTTTCTGAATGTGCAATATAGCCCCTTTATACATTACTGAGCTCCTGAAATCCAATTCATAATATAATATAATATAAATCATAATAAAATAATAATAAAAACCCTTAACCGTAAAAATTATATACTCTCCGCGTAGAGTATACGGACGCGGAGAGTGTATAATTTTTATGGTTAAGGCTTTTTATTATTATTTTATTACATATATAAGTGCTTAAGTTTTTTCTAGATGATATATCATTACTGAATAAAGCAAGTTAGAAAAAAAAAGTAACTAAAAAAGGTTCTAACCTGTGATATGGCAAACTCTTCAACCAGTTGGACTGAACGCTACTAAACTGTCTCTTCAACGTCGGTTTGGGCGGTCTGTCGGGGCTATTGTCGGCCGTGTATTCCAGCTGTGGATAAGTCATTTGCGACTCTAATGGCACGATGCCTCCAGAACCCATTGCGTTGTTCTTCTTTGACTGTTTCAGTTTCATGGTCATCACCAAGGGAGGCGTGCCTGACTGTTGGTCGTTCTTGAAAGTCGACGGTCGATTGCCTTCTTGATCCATAGGGGATGACCGGTTCAGGTGATTAACGCTGTTGCTCCGACAATTCAACAAATTGGGGTAGTTTTCCAATATCACGTTGAACAACCGCTTGTTGTAACTCAGAGATTCTAGCACCTCGAACGGCACCTGTGCAGATAAGTGTGAACATAAAGTATTAACGTATTTTTAGTTTTATATGTTTAGTAACAATAGGAATAACTGGATCTCAGGAATCCCAATTTCTGTCCCATACCTGATATTTAGTGGATACTAATTATTTAAATAAAGGCAATACAGTGGGATCGGGGCATAGTGGGGATAAATGATATTGGGGAGAGGAAGTACAGTATAATATGGGTTTCGGACTATAAGAGAACATTATCCTTTTAAAAAGTGCCTACTTCACTTAATAGAAATTACATTTTTATGTGTCTGTATAATTTAATACATTATGTCGAATCTATATGTACTAGAAACTATCTGCAACGTTGTAACGCGTTTCCAAAGTGTGGTTAAAATAAATATAATTTATTTTCTTTTTTTAAAAGTACTGTTTTATTTTAACTCGCATTAAGAGCCAAGTATGAAGCATGTCTGTGCCCAATGGTCGGAAACTTTTAATAGAAACAATAAATAATTACTACTTTAGGTGTCTGCCGTGACAGTAAAAAAAAATAAATGAAAAGATAGTATCCGATGAACGTGACCCACATATGTTTTGTGTGTTAAATCCAATTAAATGTTATTAAAGCGATGTTAACACGTAGCCTTAATGTTATTTAACGCGACTTACTTTCTAGACTTATAATAGTAAAATCAGTACAAAATCAAATAAACAATAATATTATTTTGCATGAATATAATAAAAGTTGCCTAACGTGTCTTTTCAAATGCCAATTCGATCAAAATTTAAATAACAAGTAATGTCTAAGGTCCTAGGTTTTTTGAGTAATCAATTTTTGTTGTACCGTTGACACTATTGCGAATACAAATGGCTGTATTAGTGAGAAACGTATAATTAGTATTAACAGTACACTATTTTATTTACATTAACGACCTGGAAAATTAACGACGACAAGTATAAACATTTTCGTTGACCATGACAAGAAAACGGGTACATTTGCATTAAAGTAAGCATACCTAAAATTGTGCCATTTAAACGAACAGCATATGAAAGGTATATGAAAAATGAGTCAATGCGAAAACAGTTCTGACCCCTTCTTAACATTTTAATAGCGCTAAATCGTTATTCCTAATACGTTGTTTCCGGTTATTAAGTTACTACAATAATCCAATCAAAAATTCTTAATAAATTCTTTAGAAATATTATTTGAAATAATCAAAATCTTACTGTATGCTTTATTAAACTAAACGCATTATCCACCGCCCGGCCAGTATTTATTCAGACTAATAATTAGCTCCATATTTTTCGAACTCAATATGTTATTTCACCATAGTCACACCATTCTAATCAATACATTTTTGTCTATTAATTATGAAATTTATCTACACAAATTAACTTTTTTTAAATTAAATTTGACGATTGAAATAAAATTTGTATTTGTATTTAAAAATATACAGTTGTGTGGCATACTTATAAATAAATAGAGCAAATATAAGTATATAATTTGTCTATAGAAACAACCATAAAATATTTATTTTGTTCCAGTTTTTAATTCATTAAATCTAAAATAATTAAACATTTTCAATTAAAATAAAAAATTGTTGATTGTTTGTACAAATAATTGCATTTACATTTACTCCGTTTGTACAATTAATCCCAATTAATTCTAGATATTTAATCAAATTTACATCGTTATTAGTTTAGTATATGTTATTAAAAACAATAATTTAAAAGTATTTTAATAATAAAAAATTGAATAGTTAAAAATGTGTTTATCTTTACTCTACATAAGTATACTATTGTTTCTACGTAGTTCTTCGAAAACACTTAAAACTAATTTATTCAATAACTTTGTGATAAATGGCACAAGTATCAATTTTATCAAAATAATAAAGCAAAACAAATTCTCGCCGATACTTGAATACTTTAGTGCGACAATGTGGGGCTTTTTTTAATTTATTAAGAATCACCTATAGTAGACTTTATTTCGAATAAAGTATGTTGACGTAAAATTTTATGACAATCTCATCGTTCTTATTTATATTTTATATTAAATTTTTTCTATTGTTAATTATTATTACTGCTTTTAAATAGTAAATAAGTATATTTTTCAAATTAAAAGAATAATAATCGAATGTCACTAGTTTATATAATTTTTACTTATCAATGCAATTATTATTTTAGATTCACCATTCGATATTTCATAAAATTATCTAGTTAAATCATACATATATATATATATATAATAAAATAATAATAAGTAGACCAATAATACCTTTTCGTTATGTTTGATGTAGGTGGGTAGGTTTATAACCGATCTAAACCCATTATTGGCGCCACCCGAATACACTGGATCGATGTTGGATGGCCGCCGGACAGTAGTGGAGACTCCGGTCAGTTTGTACTCAGCCGTCTGCGCTTCTTTTACCAACCGTCTGAACTGTTCCACGTTCGGATACTGCCGGTCAGTGTCTTTTGCTGACGATTCGTCGTCTCTCAAGGCCAAGTGGTCGACAATGGATTCCTCGGTTACCGTCCAGGGTTTGGACACGTTCACTGGCTTCTTCTGTTCGGCGATCAGCCAGTCGGGATCGCGCATCAGAGCGCCGCACACGCAAAAGTTGAAAAACGTGCCAGCCAGCAACAACACGGTGCCGCGCCACCCGTACTCTTCGATAGAATATTGCGTCAATGGAGCGTATAACAGCGTGCCGATACCGGTGCCACACGCACCCAGCCCGGTGGCCAGCGTGCGCTTTTTATCGAACCAGTAAGCAATACTGACCACGGCGGTGACGTAGCATAGGCACAGACCAAGCCCAGACAGAAAACCGAACGTGAAAAACACCATTTCGATGGAGTCGGCGAACGAGGAGATGATGAACCCGACGCCGGACACGATGCCGCCGACAATTGTCATCTTCCGGCAGCCGAATTTGTCGACCAACGCGCTACCGACGGGGCCCAGCAACAGCGGAACGGCCATAAACAGGCTACCGATCCACGCGGTCTTCGACTTGCTCTCCTGGAACTCCTTGAGGAACTCGATGTACAGCATCCCGAATGAGAAGCTTATGCCGTCCGATATCAAGCATATCATCAGTGAAGCAAACACGACCATCCAGCCCCAGCCGCCGTCCGGCATCTTCGGCTTCCGGTCGTCTTCGTTGTCTTCTTCGTCCTCGTCCCGGTTGCTGACTATTCCGTACGGCACGGTTTCCACTTGTAGCGACACCCGTTTGCACGGCACAAAGTCCCGTTCCTTTTCCCGCGACAACTTGCTCAAAAGTTCTCCCAAATAGTCGTCGCACTCCTCGTCCTTCGTCCATGACGACCGGCGGTGGCACTCCTCGTCGTCCACTATAGTTATCACTTCCATCAAACAGACGGTGTCTCGCGGACGCCACAACACGCGCGCTCTATTGCTGCTGCCGCCGCTGTCTGTTTCGTTCCATCTCTTGCGCGGCTATCCAAATGCGTTGTTCTTCAACCTTGGCCGGGTTCCCTGTTCCCGTTTACTGGCGGCTGGTAAAGGTTTTCGACCAACGTCTCAGCCAACCCTTAGAGTCCAAAATGAAGTTGGATCTCCAACCGCTATACCATTCGCATGACTTCGGGAATCCGATCAATAAGTGTGAGTGTAAATAAACGTATAGCTGGGGAAGTTCACAGGTGCCCGGCATCAATGACCGGCTTACTAATGGCGATCCCGAAAACGACTGCACTTCAAGAGGTCTGCCCGAAGTCTATCTTGTCGTGCGGCAGTGGTACGCAGCTCATCAGAATACGTCCGTTATTGACTAGAATTAGATATTCTGAAAAAATACAAAACAAACGACACGAATTAATTTCGGGAAACATACCATGACACGTTTAAGTAAAGGTTAATATGTGTTAATATATACTATAATAGTTGTCCGAACAGCGGTAACGCCGGTCAATAAAAATTATATCCTATTTAATACACTCAGAACCGGCTTCAACGCGTTTTATTGATCAGGCATGACGTTCGATTGAGTTGACGTACAAAATCAATCGTTTCGCACGAATCAATTTTAACTAAAAGTTTTAGTGACAACTTTATTAACAACATAACATAAAGCGAGCTGCCCATTAATTCGTGTTGCCAATACACACACAGCATGCTTAACATTCGACTTCCGTTTCCGTTTACCCATAGTTTATCAGTCAATACTCATGGAACACAGTAATTATTGAGCGATACCGTCTAAAATAATTAAATAAACAATAAAACCCATGACAACAAAACAATTATTCAAGTTTATTGTTATAATATCGAATATTTTAGCAAAATAAAATATACGACCAATATCAGCATACAAGTGTAATCATGTTAGAACGACAAGAAAGAAAAACGGTATCTTCTCTAATCAAAACTAATGTTTGATTAGCTCGTCAGTCGCACGGTATGTAATCATATATTTTTAATGTATAAAGGTGAACAGACTCCGCCCCAGTGGTCAAGTTTAATAGACGACCCATAGTTTGTTTATGAATCCCTAATTTATTTATCCACAAAGCACGGACATAAATATATAATATAATATATTATCATAATACATTATCGCATAACCTCAAACAAAGCGTGGCCCGATGGACTGTTGTTGCTCAGCCCAGTTTGCCCTGGAAATACGATACGTCTTTATTCGATTAACTGAATAATATGTGTATATGAAAACAGGAACAAACGCTCTATGGGAGAGTAGTTTCATTTGCATTGCATAGTTTGTCCTAAGGGCGGTACCGATTTACAATAGCCTGGCGCACGATGCATAATACAATATCTATATTTTTTATCAAAGTGGAAATAGGTCCATTCTCTATGACTTTTGAAAAATTAAACGTTATTTTATTTTTTCTGATTGTTTTCGTGCACATTTTATTTGCCTACTGTGTATTGTATTTCCATTGAATTTAAGGCTGAGATCAACAATCTTTTAAACGTCTGTCTACCTATTTGTTCGTATATTTTCGTTTATTGTTTTGCTATGTAATAACGCAAAACTGGTTTTGGATTTTCAAAAGTTTTGAATTCGGTCAACTACGATTCCTTTAAACCGGTGGCTTATGTACTTAAACGTTTATCTGAATAATTGACTGAGAATTTAAGCAGTACCCTCAATTCGCATGTACTCCGAACTTAACCTATATCCACATACACACGTGTCGTTGGGAGTCTAATAGACGAAGGGTCATGTTTAGATGAACTGGACTGAGGTGTTGATGTTGATGACGGTAATACGACTGGGACAGCCCGACAGACGGTTCGACCATTATTTGTTGGGCACCAGTATGGTGTGGCCGGAACGATACGAACCGCGGTCGGTGATTCACAGTCGATTCCAAATGTCCCGCGGCGGCCGGGTGATGCTCTCGTCACCGCGGTTCCGTCCCGGCGTGCCGTTTACGTTAGGCATGTTCGAGGCGACGGCCGCGTGCCGGACGAACGTCGAGCCGGACGTCAGGCCGTTCCCGCCGCAACAGTGCGCCCACCGGACCCGCGACACTAACACTGACCCACAACCTCTGGTCAACGTGGTCGACGTGTTCCTGGACAAGCACGAAATACTTTGGGCGTTGGACGTGGGCACGATAAACACCATGACACAACCCGAACGCGTGGCTCCGCCCAAAATCGTCCGTGTCGAAATCGACGACGACGTCGACGTGAGTACCGATTACAGGAAAAGAAATACGATAGCGATAAATTCCGTGTATCTGTTGTGTTATTGTTAGACGTACAAGGCTTATGAAATCGATATCGACGCGGAACAAGAAGACAGTGACGTGGAAATGTGCTTGCAGTTCATCGTGGCGCACCAATCTCCCAAGAACACTTTCGTGTTCATAACCGATGCCGGCCGAAACTCGCTCATCATGTTTGACATGTACAAGGAAATGCAGTCGACGATCGTGTTCCCGGAGAAAACGGCGTACGCCGACCGGGACATCATGTTCATGACACTATTGCACAAGACGATGCAAGGCACCCGCCGTCCCGGGCTGTACGTCACGTATCTGTCGGGGTGTCACATGTACGTGGTCCAGTTGGACAACATCGACCAGTGTTCCGCGGTGGTGGCCCGGCCCGTCATCATGGATTTGGGCCGGAAGCCGTACAGGATCACGGTGCTGGGATCGGACGGCGGCAGCCGCATGTTCTTCCGGCGCCCCGCCGAAAACGAGATATGGTCGTGGGACGTGAACGCGCACTTTCATCCGTCCATGTTCGAGTTGGTGACGAAAGGCCAGGACTGCAGGGCGCCCGTGCAAATCACAGCGGGCTACGACCATTTCCTGTTCGTGCTGAAGAACAATTTCGGCGATTACGTGCGCAACACGACGGGCAGTCTGGGCGCGTACACCATCATACAGCCCGTGTCCAGGTTGCCCAAGAGCCGGGGCAACAGTACCACGACCAAAGGCACCGACGATAACGCACGTTGCGATTGCCACGGTTAAACTAGTCTGCGGCAGCCGCAGAGCAAAAACAACTTGTGCGCGCCGGGCCCGATCGCATTGGCCGGGTCCAATTTCATACTGGAAACAGTTTTTCAGTGCTTATCGGTAATATTTTTTCGACGACCATTTTCATTAGGTTATATGCAACGGATGTTATATAATTTAAGTTTGAAAATAACTGTTAGAATTTTTACAAATATTTGTAGTCGCTGTAAAAAATTAAAATTCAATTATTTAATCTTATCGCTTACAAAACTCAAAATCACTGATTAAATTTACGATACGGATCTGTTATTTTCTAAAGCTCTGAATAAATTATGAAAAATCTGGTTGACGATGAATGCTAGTTCTTATAATCATATTTCATATAACTTTATAGTTATCAAAATATATTCGGTCTTAATAGCTGTCGTTCTTATATAAAACATAATGTAGGAACGAGATAGAAGTTGACGAATCATGCTGAAATATGCTGAATTCCCAGTAATTAACTTCGATTGGCTTTAAATATTGATAAATGTCATATTTGCATTCAACGGGCATAGTTTTTTTTTTGTTATCTCATTATTGCAATAATTATATTGTTATCGCATTCGCCCGACTCAGCATATTTATACAAAACCATATCCATTAGCACTCTGATTTTTAGAAATTTGTAGGATTTCATTTAATTTCCGCCTTTACACTTTGTGTCGTTCGGATCGTCTGAAAGGACGTTGCAATTATCGATTTTCGTGTGTATTACCGTCGTTGAATTTGGGTCCTACCTAAAATGATTCTTGATTACCAATTATCTATAATTTAATGCTAAACGGCGTTATAACATTTTATGTATTACAATCACTATTGTGTTATGACCGGTGCAACTGTTGGGCAACACGCTAACATAAGGGTAGTCTAAAAAGAAAAACAACCTTGAGTTTATTTAACGCAATATAATAGTGTATAAATAAGATTACTATTGCGCGTGGCGCTAACAAAGACACGACATTGATTATTTTTGCCGCATTACAACCGCACAGGTAAAAACTACCAATTAACAGCAACACGACAAAACTTAATAGCCCATTAACCCCGTCTAAACTACTTACGATTCATGGGAAAGGCCCAAAACGAAGGACCGAATTTAAATTAATATAATCGGTATTAGTACCGAAAGTATTGGTGGATAATCTCTTCTGTTTAAACTTTAAATCTAACGAGCTATAGACAGCAGAGCTTCGAAGTAAGATAATAGCCCATTAAAAAAACTATGACAATTTAACATTTAAATTTTACAACAAACCAGACGATCGCCGAAAAGTGATAAAAAAAAAAAACATTTTACGGTTGTTAATAAATTATTAATATTATGTATTAAATGTTTTACGTAACGACTAACCGAAACCGCAGAGACAACTATTATGAAATCTAGATATGTGGGTTAGGTTTGTGATAACTCAGTTGGCTAGTTATAACATTTACGAAATTCGATAACCCGTAGTTAATGAAGTAATTAAATGATGTCTGATATGAAGAACAAATCGTTTCTAGTATTGCTGGCAAAATAACACACGTGTACAATTATCATTTGTTATTGCATAAAAGCTATATGAAAACCTAATATTTATAATCAGATCATAACAACGTTGTAGAATACCTAGTTAAATATTTATAAAATATATGTAAATACCATTTAAATAAAAGTACAAGTTTCTATAGGAAATAAATGATGCTAGGTAAAATAAATTAACATTTAACTTGTCCGGGTATGGTAGAAATAAACTAAAATGTATGATTTATATCTAAATAAATGTATATATTTTTGCTTGATACTGGTTAGCCGTTTACCAAGAGACAGCCGACAACGTATTAGCAATAAAAATGCAAATTAACCGGTGTCTTGTGAAAAGTAATTGGCTTAGATTGAGATTTATTTAGCGATTATTTTTTCAAGTAGCTTTAAATCCAACAGCTTTACCTTTATATTAAATTTGTTAATCTATGGTATCGGTTTTACTTTTTAGTGTCGGTCTTATCGTGTACTTTTATCCGTACAATATATTTTCATTCGAACCGGTCAGTCGTTCGCGCATTGCCAGCTGTCGAACTGAAGTTTTTCTTTTCAGTTATCAAACCCGAATTTAGCGAAGGGGAAAAAATCAAGTTATTCTTGATTTCACGAGTTCAAGTTTTTTTTTACTCTCGGAAATAAAAAAAAATATATATATACCTATTACGCGATGCACCTACGGGTTATCAATTATAAAACAAAATGTTATGTTGAAACCGATTGTGTACAGTGCGCTTCGTTAAAGATTAATGAACGTCTCGTGCACACGCACCTGGTCCATGTTACAGTTTTAATGCTAGACTTGAATTTAGAAAAATCAACGTCAAATTGATGGCATTCTTTAGGTAGTTGCCCCGTTAACACTCTACTATAAATTTGTCCTAACGAATATTGTAATTATAGTTTTGACCAAGTGCTGTCATAATTACTACAGCTTGCCAAGAAAGTGAAAATTCGATTTGATATCGAAAGGCGGGCGAGGAAACCGAAAAAGATAACAGACCTGTTGAACAGCGGTGCCAGAAACGAAAAGGTCACAGGATATTGATTTTTGAGATTTTCTCACTCCGACGTTGTACCGCGCGTCAGCGTGTAAAACTTGACACGTTATTCTAATAAAATATACTAAGCGGTACACGTTTTTTGGCGGTTCCGCGTTTTTTTTGGCCATGATACCTCCCTACAAATAACCTACAGTAAGTGTGCTACAACAACCTGTACTCACGGAAGCTGCCGGTCCGAGTTGTCGTGTATCCCAGCTCGGGTGTTGCTGTCGGTGGCGCGATAACCACGGCACTGTTACGGAAACATGGTACGTACGGTTTGGGCGCGCGTTATCAGTACAACGGCATTGCAGCGTTGATAAGCCACTATATGCGAAATACTTTAATCGGCCGAAACAGGGAACGACTCGACGACGACGGGACCGTGACTACCGTGCCACACCGGTCGGATGCTTAAAGTCGTCCCGTCGCGCTCATCTCGTCGACCGCGCTCCGTAACTGAGGCGGCACACTAGCGCGTGCGGTGGCTACCGAGTCGGCACAACTATAGATTTTTTGGCCTAGGGCAAGGCCAAACAGCCTCCGGCATACATATATATATATATATATATATACTTCGGAGCGACCGAAAACCAATATAACAAACACTTTCCCCAGTGTCGGTATCATTTTCGATTGGAAATAATTAAACTTGCACAAACAAAAAAAATACGGTTTTAAAAAAAATGCTGACTTTGCAGTTAGGTCTGGTCAGCCGAGGAAAAACCGCCAAGAGTTTGGTGGTATCAGTAAATTTGTCAATGATACAATACCCGGGCGACACCCAAGGGGAGTTTTTTAAATTTATTATACAATATTTGTGAGATAAATTGGCATTGTAAGGGTATGATCTGCACAGAGGACCCCAATTTTCAAATTTCGTGTAAAATAATTGTATTTAAACATCAGCTGTTAATGAATAATGGTATTATTTCTTAAGATTTCAAAGCAGTAGCTTTTATTGTATTTTTGTAAATCCATATTTGATTGAAATCCTATACTTAATATATACTAAGTTTAATTTTTATATAAAACAATTATAATAACAAAAAAATGTTCTCTATAAATAATTGTATTTCAATAATCTAAGACGGACTGGAAAATTACTTTTATTAAAACAGTAAGTAGTATTTGAGATCGATCATATTTTTTGATAAAAATTACCCTTTATTATTTTCACCCGATCATTAAAAATACAAAGAAAAAAATTTCGAAAAGGTTTTTAAGACATTTTTAACTTAAATCTTATATTATATAGCATAAACTATACTTAGTTAATTTGTAACCAAACATTAGTGGCAATGGAATTCAACAGTTTTTTTTAAATTTTGTTGCTTATTCTTAGTCTAGTTTCTAGAAAAACAATAAATATAATAATATTTAATTTAACATAAAATATCATCATTCAAAAATGCATTATTCTATGACGTTATTTTTTAAAAATACTTTTTGAATTTGTCAATGCCTTAAGAAAAATACATGTATTAACTTTTTTGATAGTATTATAATTTAACTATGAAGAATGCTGTTAAAATAAAATATTAATCCGATCAACCATACTAATACATATTCTCAACTCTTAGGTATTAAAGAGTATATTTAGCTATAATTTAATAAACAGTAAGTTACAATCTATAACAAACTTAAGCAACACTTGTTGTTATATATTATAGCTAAGTAATAAAATATTAAAAAAAAAACCTTCACCACATAAATGTATACACTTCAACGTATACGTTATCACACGTTATCGTTTCTTTATAATTAGCTTGTTTAAAACCTTATTACAGATTGCGAACTCGCTGGGTACAATCACTACATAGAGCAGGGTGATTCGGATTTATAGACATCAAACTTTCTAGCAATAAATAGATTGAAATCAAACTCGAGTTCAAAAATATTAAATTTAACAACGAGCCTTAATTATTACTAACAGGATTAATTAGATAAAAATTTTAACGAAGAAAAACTATCAAATATCACATCTGCGCAATTAGATCTAGAACCACTATAAATCATACCAACATCATTATTAAAATATTTTACTCTCGGTGAATTATTATTATCACCAGCTAAAATAATAATGACAGTGACATGTGACATCATATATTCAACAGTATTAGCGAATATGAATTGTTGTACTGAAGCTGGACTAGTAGTCGGAATATACATTTTACATACGTCCACTCCTATCCTAACTTTCAAACTCTTGTTGCTTTAAAAATAATTATTAAAAACTGGTTAACCCAGTAAGATATTACGTGGATCAATTAAAAAAACTACCCTGTATTTATAGAAAACTTCTGGTGAATTATGACCGAAAAGTGCCACCTATAATTATTGTTGTACGATTTGACAACGTCGCACGAAAAATCGTTCGTAAACGTTTGATTTTTGGGTATAAAATAGTTTTTCTTTGATCTACCGACCATCGTTCGCGATCGTGTTGCGAAAAAGGTAAAACGTTCGCAATCGTGTAACACAGAAACTCATAATGCTTTTGTCTTCATAACAAATGCATCGAGAATTAAGACTTGACAGAACTTGCAATAATATAGCTTTCTGTGTGGAAACTTATAAGAAATGGTAATTTAACGAAAACAGAAGTTCTTTGCAAAATACATAACCATAATAGACATGTCCTATCATAAGAATATATGAGGGGCGGATCCTTAACATCACAAAACAAAATGTAAGCGGTGACATTACAGTATATTACTTTACAAAATTATGTTTGCTTCAAAGGTGTATACAAAACACAAAACATCTTTGAAGCAGTTTATCGATCTTCATTTTACGTCACGTTAAATATAAGAAAAGCGTTTTGAAAGTTTACATTATAAAATGTTTAAAAGGCAGATGTATTATACAGAGCTATTAATTTATTATTTTACAGAATTATGTTTGCTTCAAAGCTGTATACGAAACATCTTCGAAGCAGCTTATCGTTCCTCCTTTTACGTCACGTAAGAAAAACGTGATAAGTACAATATAGATAGATAAGTAGATCAGTGAAAAAAAATTGTCTGGTTTAAAGCGCGATTTAACTGACGGTATACACATTTAATTTATAATTTTATCTACGAAAAAATAATTAGCTATTTTGACCTTACTACAACCGTTATATACTAATAACAGTATTAATAATTTAGTAAAAAATTAATTAAATAAGATTAAACAAATAACGAATAACTATAATACAAAAATGTACAGTTAAATGTAGATACTAAAAAAAAAAAAAAAATAATAATACTAAAATCATTAAAAAATATTTAACATTAATTATTATATTAAATTATAGTGTTGTAAATTTATTAATTATTGCATCTTAATCACGATTATAAATAGGAAGAAAATGATAAATTATTATTACCTATACCTATTATTAATCAATAAAAAAAATATTTACAAAAAAAATATATATAAAAAAAATCCTTACAATTAAAATATGCTACACTTATTAATCGATTCTGCGTTGCTTTATAATTCATTGTTTTTTTTTAAAGCGTGTGGATAAGAAACATGTGTAAAGCGACCACTTGATGTCAGCTAAAGAGTGTGTTTTCCATTAGCATAGACATACTTTTTTTTTTTGAGCTGCCCTAGTGTCCTAGGCAATACGTTAAGAACATTAAATTGTACTTTTTTTTTATTTTTTGGGTAGCCATTCATCAGAATATTGCATATATTTTCAATGTGTTAAATTTGTATATATCAGTATTTTAATCATAAAGACACTCACCTAGTAAGTTGATCTTGTAACGAAAATTAAATTTTTCTTAGTGAATAGTGGTTATTTAAAATAATAGAGTAATCAGGCCATAAAAAGAACCTGATGGTGATGACTGGAATGCTAAATATTAAACAAATTCTGATTACCCGGGTAGGGTCAGCCCAACATCATGGCGACACTCATCACGAAAACTATCAAGTTTCATTTAGTTAACGAAAAACCACACTTTAGTTTAGCCATGCTGAAGTGTTGTTTTTCCTTAGCAATGTGAAATTTGACGTTTTTCGTAAGAAGCGTCGACCGTCATGGCTCAGGAAACACGCAAGGAATTTCAAACGTTCAAGTTGACAACGCTTCGCCACAAATGTAACTTGATATAATGGCATCTAAATAACAGCATGCGGTGTAAGTTTTACAGGTACGGTTAAATGTACATTGCACACAAACACACGCACACCGCTCAACAATAAATTATAGTTCTATATGTATAATGTATTCTCGTGGTAGCGAGCCGGATCATTTGAACAACAATAGAGAGTTGTTGTTGAAGCTGTACGGCAAATCTGGTACCCGGACTATCCGCATGAGCCTTATGTTTACTTCCCTTTTGTCCAGAGTTCTCCTGAAGAACTTCTGAAGCCTCGTCGATATCGCCCAAATGGCACTCTGATCCCGATCAGCTGACCTAATGTCCAAAACGAACTGAAGCTCTTCCGGACTGTAAGCCAACACGCTGCGGATAAAAAAACAGAATTACAATATATTAATTATTATTGCGCAAAAGTGATCGTTTCATTTGACAGAATTTGCACGTTTGAAATATTATATATTTACACTATAATGTGCACGCAGTTTCAATCGATAATCATTTGCTAGCTACATTGTGCTTTTTAGGGCCATCCTAGAAAAAATCGGGGAAAACATTTCTATGTCTACTAATTAACAGTGCAACACACTTAAAAGGACTTTTGTTCGTGTAATATTGTTTTCTGACGAACAATTTGATTGACTCTCAAACGTTGGATTAAAAGTAAATAGAAAGAAACTAGAAAGGTACTTTGCACATCAGTTTTTTTATGATTCGATGCCGTGCCCTCACGGACACATATTGTTTCATCGATAATAATAAACAATACAATACGGACAGGATATAGTCTAGAATATTCTGCGATATTATCAATGATAATTACTATAATAATTAGAATTTGCTAATGATTCTTACAATGAATCTGAAATATACTACAAACATCAAGTGTTAAATTATTATATTGTAAATTCGTAAATATAAATATTAAATTAATGCGGTGTATTAGTTTCTCCAAATTGTTTTTAAAGAAATACATCATTTAATTGTGTTTACAGGCCTGTTAACAATCAACTAACTATATTTTTTTCGATTTGTGTATAGAAAATATTATAATATATAAGTGTCCTCAATAAGCACCGCTAGAGAAAATTCTGTCGAAGTCAATAAATTTTGGTATTTGAAAAAAGAGCAATCGAAATCACAATGTACTTGTGTATTCTTTAGAATTACCGCTTCATGCTTTTTCCCAATCAAACGCCTTTGAGTTTTCATACTTTGTAGATATTATAAATATCGAATGCAAATACACAATTTATTCTTGATAATTTCAATCCATAAAAGACAAAAATGCATATTAACTTAATATTACTATAATGTAAGACAGGAGTTATAGTATAGATATACATTAAAGAAATGCAGGGAAAACCGATTGTGCTTTCTTATCTTCGAGAACCTAATTGTATACATTGGTACCAAAAAGAGCTTTGTGTGACATTTCTGACAAATTAACTTGCATTAATCTGGCAAATTAAATTTATTTAAAATTTGTATTAGTCGTAATTACTGAAATTTTAGTGTTTAGACAACTTGAACTTTTTAGATCTTTTCCCATGTTCACAAGACCTGGCTGTTAATATCTAAGTAGTTAAATGCGATCAACTAACCCGTGTTCCACAGATCCCGGCACCCAGCTAGCAATGGCCGTTTCGGACACCGGGCTGAATATGAGTGCCCCGTCCTTGGGGTCGACGGCCAGGGGAGCTGCCTGTGAGGACTTGTGACCGACCAGCGATACGGGCAAGTCTGAGTCGTCGCCAAGATTGGGACCGGATTTGAGCGCCGAAGTGGGCACCGAGAACAGGCGGTCGGAGGCGAACGGCTGGAAGTATAGACGGCGACCGACCGTGCCTATAGGCGACAGCGCCAGGCCGATGATGCCGTCCATAAGGGAGAATGGTTCGCCAGCTACCTGTAAAACAAAATTTTAAAACGGATATGCGTTGAGTGACGACCTTAAAAACACATATTTTACGACTGGTCTTAAGTAAATGTAATAATCGTGTCGTTTACGTTGAAAAGACCGAAATCCGGATCGGGGTACATGAACGGGTGGGTAAGTCGCCAGGCAGTGTCCCTCCTGGCGTCGTACACCAATAAACCGGGGTTGGTGCTGTCGGTCATGTACACGAACATGTTGTCGCAGTCACCGAGAAAACCGTCTTGTAAGTGAGACACGTCAGTTTGGTCGTCGATTACCAAATTGGTCAGCAGCGAGTTCTTCCTCAAGATTTCTGGTGGCAAGATCACGCTTCTCAGCTAAAACAAAAAAAACGCATTTTGATAGTTCACCCTAGTTAACGTGCAAATCTAATATGATCATTAAAATAGTTAACCTACCATCCGATCGGTTCGCATGTCGAACACCATCAACTTGGGAGGACACACGGTAGAGAACGTCTCAATGCTGTCCAGCACCCCGCTGTCCAACACCCACAGCCTGTTGCACCTATCAGCCCTCACTCTGAACACGGAAACCAGCCCGGAACAGTTGGGTCTGGGCGAATTGGCCAGGTTACCGCTGGCCGCTTCACTGTGCCAGTCCCAGTTCGGATAAGCCTGCAGTCAGAACAGCAAAAAATTATAAGTAATAATCGAATGTAAAATAAGTATCCCTACGTACCTGTAACAGTGGTGACTTGTGAGTTTCAAACGTTGCTCCCGCCCTATTCCGCGGTATCCACGCTAAAGTAGCCGGGTTCCCGTTGAACAGTCTAGGAGTGGTAATAAATACTCTATCCCAACCTAAAAACCATAAAAACAAATTTAATTTAAAAAAAAAAAGCTATAACATCATTACTGAAATTAACACCAACTTAAGTCAATTAAATCAATATTTTGTGTGAAACGATTTATAAAACAATATTTCAAAGCATTTACGCTGACAGACATAGATATTTTAGATAACAATTGTAAAAATATCCAATAATATTATTTTTTTTAAACTAAAACTATTATAATTCACTTGTGTAACTCCTGTTAGGTCTCGTCAATTTTTAAAATCTCAAAGATTTTCAAATTAAACATTTTCTTGACTATTATAATATAATATTTTATTACATTCAAATTTACAAACAAGAAGCCCGGAGGTAATTTTGTTCATATTTATCTTGCACGCTGTTGTTGACTAAAAATGGTGATTTAAGTATATAATAATAAAATGTATTTACTTTGGAAATTTTAGCTGGTTCTACGAGATCAATAAATAAACAATACAATAAATAAACAATGGTAAAATCATACCATTAGCCATAATGTACTATGGTAGTAAATTAAAAATAAAAATGTTCAAACGCTTTAGGTACAACGTTTTTGTCCAATAATAATACAAATAATCTAATATCAATCATAAAATGTTATTTTGTTTTGACTCTCATAAACAATCGTTATAAGTTATAACACATAAATAGAATAAATTGTAACGCTTAATGTTTTAGTTTTAGCAATCCCTGATAAATCTCTAACATTACGGCGCTATCTAGCATACACTTGAACCATTAGCCTTGCACTTGCAAACCGCTATGCTATTAACCGCAGCGAATCTTGTACGGTTTTAGACTTTTAATGTTCTTAACTATATTAATTATAAACGCCCTTGCATAATGTCTTATTGGGTATTGGGTATTACACCAATCAGCATGGTCGTTAATTAATCACAATTTAATAAACCTTTAATGTTTGTATAGTTTTTGAAATATGATGTATTAATTCTTACAGCAATATACAAAATAAATATTTCAGAAATATCGTGAACTTTTTTATTTTTTAATATGTTTGGCCATTAATAGTTCAAAACATTTTAATAACATTTTAACTACATTTTAAACCTGAAAATATTGATTTGTGCTGTATGAATAAAACTGTAGGGTGTATTACCCGATGATCTGACAGCATTTCTGTATGTATCTACGTCAAAACATCGTTAAACACCCTGTATATTATATTCAGAGAATATATTCGACAACTGTTAATAATAAATATTATAATGTTATTTGTCGAATAGTGCGTCGAAACTCGCGTGGTTTAGGTACTGAAGCGTTATGGCTTCTATGATATTCTCATTATAGCATACTAATTACTAATAGATGATGACTAGTGTATTTTACACTTAAAAATTATAACTGTACATAGATCATATTATTATATTATGCAACGTAACGCTTACAATGTTATGTTATGTAAAGTATATTGGCACTTGGTCGTGTTCCAATCCGTTTAACTATCGTCATGTCCTCGTCAGTGCCCTATGTTCGTTAGCATAGATATTTTTATTATACTTAATTGCTTTTACATAACCACTTTTAATACAAAATAAACTCTCACACAGTACTATCTGATCTTAATTGTTTTATAACTCTTTAAAATTAAGTAAAGTAAACGGGGGAAAATATAGTTTAGTTCAATCGGGAAAACAAGATTTTTTGATTATGACCACCGAATAACATTTCCATGAAATAAACACCTAAATAAATCAACTTTGATTATATTCGACTAACCAAATGATTATGTTAAAGTAAACACTAGTCAGTAAATATAACTACATAATCTGGTTGTCATAGACTCAAGCCAACACCTGTTGATGTAACAATCTACTTTTTCCGTGTAAGCATCAGGTTTTTGTTTTTTGAGATATTATTTAAACTTGGAAATGAAAAATCAGTAAATTATATTAAAATTCAACAGCGTTCAAATGCAAATGAATTTGATCGATAGAGACGCTAATACTAAAATGTCTGTTTTATGTTAGTTGTGTTTACTTGATGTGCGAGTAAGAAAAAACAAATATATGTATCAACATTCTTTTTGACTTGTAGAGCGAATTAATTTATAACTTTACTGAACACATTTCTTTAATTATCTAACATTAGTTTAAGTAATAAAAACGAACAAAAATCGAAAAATGTGTATTGATAGAAATCGTCCGAGACGAGATATTCAAGTGTATCAGACTCGTTATGAAATGTTCCAAACGAAGTTTCAACTCAAACACAAACTATACTGCCTCGAGATTATTCAACACAATTTATAGTAACTTTCTACAAAAACAGCGTCGCGTTGTACAAAATAACAATTATTATGACGTTATTTCTTTCTCGAATCCTATAATAACGCTAAAGTTATTTTCTTTCACGATATCTATATGTTAACGATGTCTTGTAATTCTCATTTATGGAAAAAAGCAAAACCCGTAAATATTTCATTTTAAATAAACATTAACGAATAAAATACATTATTAATACATTAGTTTACACGAATGAATAAAGCTCGACTGGGGAATAATGATTCATAAACGGATTTGGAAAACAATTTCTCGCCATTTGTAGCACAGATTTACTTTCTATTAAATTGCTTCTCCCATTAAAAAAAATTGCTACATCGAAAATCAAAGTTTTTGAATTTAACGACTTAAAAACAATAGCGTGATGGCATAACCTATTCACAGATGGCGTTAGATTTGTCTTTTTTTTTACACTCGGATTTAGCCAGAGACTTGAACGGTCGAACGTGAATAATAATAATAATGTGTAGGTACTTTATTTAAATCCTGCGCGGTACTCCATTGTACAAGTTCAAACTCAAAAAATATAAATAAACAACATTTAAACTATACCTTTAAAATTGAGATATATATTTTTTTTTTTGGAGTACGCTATCCGTTAAAATTAACAAGGTGTAAGTATTAATTGACCGTTAAAACCGATAGACTCACCGACTTCGAATCCCGTGGGCACAGCCACTTCAGATTTGTAGTCTTCGGCGTTGGGATAGTTGAACGGGATGTCGTACCTGAGGGTGGTCCACTCGTTGACGGTCTGCAGGGTGGCCTGCAGAGCCGACGGCGTCCACGACAACAGCAAGAGCAGCGACAACGACAGCGACGGCGCCACAGCCATCGTGGACATGGCTTGCCAAAAAAGAGTTTGGAATGGTTCAACGACGAACGTGTGCGTGTGGCAACAACTACGCTATAATTATTATTGCTGTCCGGATGAAACGTTCTAAATAATATCAGCGAGACTCTTATTACGGTGATAATAATAATGCTGACATATTATCCACACGCTGGGCGAGACGCACGTGCGCGCGAACTGAGCTGGACCGACGAGTGAGCGCGACCGGGACGACTGGACCAAAGCGCGACGTCGACGGAACTGCGGCCGTGTAACGCAAGCGAACGTTCTTCGTCTGCCGAACGGATCGCGGACGCTGAGGACCGGTCGCCCGCCTAGTGACGACGCGGCGCTCGAGTGCCTGCCCGCCCAATTACCGTAAATCGGGTCACTCAAAGGACCGGAACCGCGGGAAGCGACCACCAAAGCAGCGTCAAGGTCGCGGTCGGCGTTGCAGTTTTCTCTATTCAGGTCTCTGTCGCATAACAGGTATATTATGAAGTGTTAACTTGATTATCATTTTATGCGAACGCGACCGGTTGAAAAACTCATTTGTTTACTATACTAGTGCTAATAGCAGAAGAGCGCACAGTGGCATGTACTTTAACTACGTTGACACATTACAAATGCGAAAAGAAAATGTAAAAAAAAAAGTATACAGACCAACGCACTATACTGGGTCAACACAAGACGGTAGTTTTGGAACGCAAATATTTTTTTATTAAAAAAAAATATGGAATAAAGGGGAAGTTGATTTGCTTTTAATGTTTACATCGAAACTTAAAAGCGCCCCTGCAATAAAGTTTTGAAGCTACAGAATACCCGTTTGTATTTGTCACACCCCCGTACGAAAAGCCTTTTTTTTGTAGAAGAAAAATTACGGAGCTACGAGGGGGCACGAAAAGGGGTATGAAAAGCCCATAGGCCATATAAAAAATACGGATGATTAGGATGTAGATATTGTTATGGATAACGAGATTTCGACACATTGAGGAATAAAAGATGGGAATTTACGAGTAAAAATAGGAATACAAGACTAAAGGCCAAAAATAGGAAAGTATTCGCGAATAATAATAAGTTAAGTATGTAGACATCGAGTTTGAAAAATGTGGAGTGTATTAAAAGAGGCAAGGGTAAAGGTGTTCATCTACAACTATTAGCTTTACTCGAGGGTGATGTATAAATAAATGTATATACCTAAGCGAGGTCAAACTTCAACTTTTTTAAATTTTATTTAAAAATTTCTGTTTATTTACAATCTATACAATACATAGTACAATAAGTAAATTTGAGTATAGAATAATAAAATACACGTGAAAAAACATGAGAGGAAACCACATGTTAGTAGCACCTCTGAACTTCAACATAAGTACACAATAATTTCGGGAAATGAAGATTGAAGTATATATTGAAAAATGGTGTTATGGTCGACTGACATCTTTTTTGTGGTGTTTGTTTGTATAACTCTCAATAAATGCACATTCAACAAGCCTTTCAGACGAAAGCAGATAACACCGCTTTAAAGCTTAGGTTGAAAAAAAAAACTCAAACGATTCTATTTTGCTGTTGATAACGTTACTGTTAAGAATAGTTTTGAATGTAAATTGTGATTTACTGATTACTTATAAGCAGGTTTAAAGGGTTACAAGCAGATTTACAATTTAATAATATTAATATATACATGTAGATGAATACAAACGAAACAATGAAATAATTTGTTACCTTAGAGAAACACATTGATTGCCAAAACCAGAACTGCAATCAACGCGTAGAATTGGCTGACGAAAAATGTTTCGTTTAGAAAATAATATTCTATCGCCAAAACCCAATTGCGTCCGTGCCAAGCATGTTTTTGTCGCTTTAATTCCGGTTTAAAACAATAACATAACACAAATAACTCTATAATTTTCGATAATACATATTTTACTATTAATTAGTATAATAATTATTTATACTGTCAATAAGCGCTTGTGTAGTGAAGCATGTAAGTTGTTCTAATACAATAAGGGTTATCATTATGAAAAGAATGCAAGATTCGTCTGGACCCGTGATCTAAAAGCCTTTTTTACCAGACTGCTTCTGGTAGTGGCTTGGATTTGTTAAAGGAATTGATCGTGTACTTATAACTCTATTGACTTACCAATAATTATCAACCGTTATAGCCGCCTGACCCAAATCAATCACCACCCAGAACAGTCAATCTGACGTTTTTTAATTTAGTGAAGCTCTAGTAAAACTAATGAAAGTGGCAAAGCTCGACAAATTTTGTGTATTGGTAATTGCAATGTCTTTCCTATCCATTCCCAGATGTAAACCACAAAATATCTAATATGCTAATGCTATCACGTCCGGCGGCGGTTCTGATGTGTACGTGCAATTGGACTATGGTATTTTACTTTTACACTTTCCCGGAGACTTGTGGAGCCCTACATACGCCGCCGCAGTGGATTCCATTCAAATAAATACGAATGGTTTTTCGATTTCCCTGCGTCATTATGCTAAATTGGTCGGTCGAAAAAAACAAAAACATACGTACCAAAGACGTCGAAAATAAATGTTGTGGTCATATTGAACTAGTATTAAGAAAACATGTGGAGGTACTTGCTATCATTTAAAGTAGAATAATATACCAACACCTCCTCAGCTTCGTATCGAAGATAAAATAATTATAGTTAAGTTATTATACAGCTGTAGTAGAAAACTTTCTTGAAACGCGCTAATGGCAGCTGTATATTTAATTGAATAGGTGTGTTTTGTATGGAACCAAATAATAAGGTCATCGACAGCCGCTGCTGTTGTTGGATATTCAGACAGACGTAGAAAAAGTTTGTAATAAATAATATAATATATTATATTTGGTCCATTTAACGACATGTTCTAGTATAGTTCATGTATAGTAAGAGACGAAAATTATTTGAACAGGGATTTATAAAGAGAATTAAAAGAAACATAGTCTTATAGTGATTAGTTACCGAGAAAACAATTTCAAACATAAATGTTAATACTTACCTATATTATAACTTTTTTAAACTACAATTTTTAATTTGAAACTTTGTAAATACCAAAATAGACAAAATTATTATTATGACTTATAATAATTAATAAGTATAAAAACATTTTTAAAGAAACATTACTTTGTCAAAATAAACAAGATATATTATTGCTGATCGAGTACGTATGGTCAATGCTGCAATATAATCGCACGAACAAGATTAATCGTACATCTTTGAGAAAAAGAATAGGTTTTATTTTCGTAAAGAACAGATACGAGAGGCAGCGTATTAAGAGGAGTAATAATTAATTGAGTCGACATCTTGTAGGATAGAAAAAAAATGTTAAATAGGCACCTGATATTTATTTGATTCAGATTCCTTCCAGCTTGATTGTTAATTGTTAACTAGAGTTTATCATATTTTTTTTGTTTTAAAAAATTGAGATCAGTTCTACAAGTATCCAAAAATTATTAATATATGCCTCTGTTCATCGTGGTAACGCATAATTTAATCAAAATATATTAATGACTATGGCTAAGAAAAGAGTTTAATTTAAAACTGATTTGTCATCGCAGAAGGGCCAAAAGGTTCCGAACAACACGCTGTTCATTATTAAACATCCGAAAACAAATATATATTTATTATAAATTCTTCGTCGTTGAATATTACATTATTTTTAATTAAAAGTCGTCTTCAGTTTTTGATTCATAATTTAATATTATTTAAGTTATATTTTCCAATTTCAACTTCCAGGCCACGAATAAATTAATACATGATTCCGTCCATTGGATGAGCTGTGATGTTAAAAAACTTAATTTTTAATTAATTATTGAACACATCGTGGTTATTAATCGAGAAAAACTTTACCAAAGCGAAATGTTTAGCTAAGAGCTTTTGTTATTTTAATAAATATATATTTTCTTGGCCAACGGTGTTTTCGCGAGTTTCCATAACTTTGTAGATATTAATAACACTGTAGTAAATACGGCTGACACAATTTCCATTTGAACGAGTTTTCGACAAGTTTCGAATAAAGATAACGCATTATTTTAGTATGATGTAGTTATAGTTCTTTAATTTCCAATCGAACGGAAAATTGTAAACTAAACATTATAATTTACAAGTTGAAAATTAAATTTGAAAAACTTATCCGTAACTGCTATGTATGTATCTTTGTATATTTATATATTTTACGTAGATGGGAGGTTCGAATATATATACCTGTACGCTCTGAGAGATTTTAATTAAAATTAAACGAACCATGCATGTAAAAAACAGTCAATATTGAATATTATCAAATCGTCCATCTTGCTGCAAATAATTATTATACATAAAGCGAAAAGTATTATTAATTAATACCGTGGAAAGTTTTGCGCGCTTTGCTAAAGTCAATAAGTAATAATAATAATATATATTATGTATGCTTGCAGTATGCTAGTAAGTACTATTCTTTAAAATGGTACTTCTATAAGAATTATAACATAAATAGTAATCGTAAAATACATACAACGCAAAACAGTTTTTACATTTTACATTTATGTACTAGTTTTTTACTTTCGATAAGTAACATATTATGTTTTTATTTTTTGTTTTGTATTGTTTTTTTTTATTGTAATACAAAATTCTTGTTAGAAAACATAATATAGTATAGACCTATGTCTGAAGGTACATAAATATAATTGGTAATTCCCTACACACTAACATCTCTTTTAGGCTACTAAACAATTGTAACTCGCAATTAAAAATCAATTGGATAACATTACAAGTCGTTGGTTGGACAAGCGTTTGGTGAACCAACCTGTACGTATTATGCGTAGGATATTTTGTTTATGTCCAAAGTTGATGTCAGGTGGAAACAATTTCTGTAAGAGCTGCAATGGGAACGATATGAAAACGAGCATTATCCTAATGATGTGGGTTTGGCGGAAAACTTTTTTTGTTACCTCGACGTCATAGAAGTAACAAAAAATTTGCCAACACTGCACATCCGACAATCCCCCAGTAGAGAAAACGACAAAATAATTTTGTATACCGTCGCGCGTGTCATATTATACAAATTGAAACGACCGAGCTCTTTTGGAATACCCGTGCGACTTACCGGCTCGGCAGTCCCAGTCTTAGTGACAAGACTTTTTGTATATTATGCATAGTATACTGTCTACCTATAAATTTATCGGTAATATTCCTAATGGTCCCTGACCACAAGAACGGGTCGAACAATTCATTACTATGAGAAGCCTCGGTTGTAATCAACCCGACTGTTGTTGGTATACACACTATT